GGGAAAGAGTACTCCCAGGAGTGCACTATACTACTACTTTTACTTTCTGGAACTTAACACAATCTATTATTCTAAAACAGGACCTCAATACTGTTATATTCTTATAGATAGACATCTTGATCCTTTTAAACTGTTTTTGCAGATAAAAAATGCTATGTATGGAAGAAGCACTCCTGAAGATGACCCACAGTTGAAGAGAATTTACTCTCATGCAGCAAATCCTGGAAAGACTTTCCTCTTGACTCTAGGGTTTGTACAAACAACTGAAGATGGCAAGAAAGTGTTGACTTTGCCTCCTAAGCATTTTATCCCTCTAGAGGAAGCTTATGTATCAGTGTTTGTCATGGGATCTAAGTAAAGGTTGTTTACCCTAAACGCTGTGCAAATAATATTATGCTATTATTATGCGTAGGTCATGACTCAAATAGCAAAATAATATAATTGAAGCACTAATAGCATTTTTCACGGTTACTAAAGATAGATGTTGCAAAGCCTTGGGGGATTGAAGTACTGACCAATTTTGTAAACAATGCAATTAACACTTCAATTACACGGAAAAGAAGAATAATATCTATAGAAAAAACGGATAGTTCTTCCATTATTGGAARCAGCAAGATAACAAAACATTGATGTAGCATGTCAGCATGTGTGCTGGGCTTGGCTTGTCTGCATTTCAATCTCTTGATGCACAAATGTGACGCCATCTGTGGAAAACACTATTGAATAAGTAACTTAGTTTGCTTTTAACTGGTTTACTTTAGATATAGATAAAATCAGGGTAGGATCAGTAGCACCAACAAAAAATAATACTATATGATACATTGTTTTGGTCTATATGTGTTGTAGCACCTTGTAGATAATGGTGATAGGCCCCCTTCAGCTAAAGAAGTTATTTAAATCAGATTTTGGTACTTAAAGCTTTTTGTATCACATTAATCATATTACAAGAAATTATCTAGTAATTAGTCAATTTTTAGAATAAAGTCACTAGCATATTATAGTTTCAGAGCATATTCATACCCTCCCCTCCCCCCCAGAAACTTGGAAATGAAAGAAGACTCAGTACCTACTAAAATAATAGACCCTAAGATCGACGCTCATTCATGGATTTGAATAAGTACTGGTATAGAGCAGGTGCATGTTACGTCATTGCTGCAATCCTGGTTGACAATAACAAAGTGTTCCTCATTAGCTTCTCTTGTTAGATCAACCAAGATGACGGCCGTTTTGTTGTTATTCATATCTCAAGGGATTTTGATTCACATTGTTGCACACACTCTATTGTCTGAAGAAGTTATGTTGATCATTAAGTGTTATAGATCTAAAAGAATTAGCAAAAAGTAATCTGACACAAAAAGTAATTTATTTCATAGATATTCAATATTATATAATTACATGTAAGACATAAAATAGAACATTGTAGTATGAATAGACGTGGTTTTTTTTCTATTCTGTAAATATTATCATTGTTTTGTCGGTTATTTTTATTAAACTGTCTGCAGAAATCACTCTACATTTATGTTTCTGTCTAAGATTTCATTGATTAGCTTGATTTTACATAAATCTACAGTACAATCACGCTAGATTTTGTCAACCTTATAAAGACGCACAGTACAATACAGTAAGTATGATAATATATATTAATAAATCTGTTTTTAACTTATTTTTTAAAGTTCTTGGCTTTCCATGACTTTTGTAGCAGTCAGCTGATCCATGACATTTCTGAAAGATTCTACACTAACCTAAAGTAAAGAAGAAAAGTTTACAACATTTAGACAAGTTAAATGATTTTCATGGAACTCAAAATTACAAAGTATTGTGGTACCTGGTGTCTGCTTAGAGTGAAGGTATGTAACCCATGAAATAAAAAAACTAGGGGGGGGGGGGGTGCATGTCTAGTGAATATAGGTTTCTTTTACAGTAAATATGGAGAGCACATTTTAAAACCTGAGCTAGTGTCCACTTGTGTCCAAAGGTGTTTGTTTAAAAGAGTTACCACATATATTGCTTTGGCAAATGAAATTTAAAACCTTAGGCAAGTTAGTACAGAGTTTTTAAGTCCAATAGGACCTAGGTCAACCTTCTTAGATTACAGTATTCATAGTTCAGTATTTAATATTTTAAATTAATATAATCATTGAAATGGCTTCCCATTGTCTTTGAACCCCAACTCATTCAATCACAAATGATTACAGCTACAGTAAGACATGTTACATCTGCATGCTGTTGTACAACAGTCCATAAATTTGCTGTATCATTTCCACTCAAATGATTTATAGTGAGTAATGTATTTCCTAGTAATAAAATAGATTATCTCACCTGGCCCTGGGGTCCTTGTGTGGCTGCAGCCTCCCAAATTTTCTCAAATGTTTCAGGATTCATTTCTACTCCAATACCATCGATAATTCTTCTCATCTAAGCATTGGGTCAAATACAGACTCATAAATAAGTTATAATGAATAAAACTAACTGCCGCACAGATTGAATACATAAATATACTGTAATTAGCATTACAGTTAAGACTTGGGCCACTTAATACTGAAAAGCCCAAACATTTAAGAATCTCCTTGGGTGAACACCCCCAGACCTCTTCTGGTTTCGTTTTGCTTACTCAGTGTTGAGATTTGTCTAATGCTAATTTTTTATGACACCTATTTCTCACATCCCTGGATCCATGTGCCATGGTATACATACAATTCAAGTAGATATGCTACAGTTGTCTTCGTAGGGTACATACCTCAAATCGATCCCTTGGCTGGAAAAAGTCTTTTTCGTAAACTCCATGGTTGCTGTATAGTGAAGGGTTGATCAGTCCATATGCATCAGATTCATCTCCATAATTCTATAAGAACAAAAATTAGCACATATATGATATTTAAATTTAGTCTGAGGTCAGTGTCATGTTCGGAGCTTGATTGGACAAAAACACGTCCAAATTCGAAACTGATTGTTCCTAGTTGAAGTATTTAACTATAAATATAGAGGACTTTCAAGAACTACTCTACCAAAAATTCTGCATTTTAAGCATGTCTTCACCAAGAAATTTTGTCTTAAGAGGTAAGAGAGCAATAGGGATGAGTAAATGATTTCATTTACTAACAGTTTAGATGCTACGATAATTGATAATTTTTATTTCAAATGCCCCTCTATTAACCTATATTGAAATTTTACATTTTGTTACTTACTGTTGTGTCGCCAACTCTTCTAATCCTAGGTGCAGCCAGATCTGATCTAATCGTTGGGGTTCCATATGCTCTCCAGTCTGAAAAATAATGTCAAACAAATGATAAGCTTGAATTCTAATCCTAATCCATACTGTGAGAGGGTACATGTGAGAGAATGAAAAGTATAAATCAGGCTTTGCACCATTATGTGATTACAGCCATGACATTGAATTTGGTATAATCTGATTACATGAGAAAGAATTCAGTTTCCTGGGGGGGGGGGGGGAGCTATTGTTGTGCCTCCTGTCATGGCTGCCATACACATAATGGTGCATTACAAGCCTTTATTGTGTCATATTGACCACATTCCAATAAGTTAATCTGACAACAATAACTTACTGTTTGTCTTGACTCCCCCAACAGTAGCATTGACAAGCATTGACGACTGCTTCCATCCACCAACAGCCTTGTCTATCTGCTTTGATAATGTTTTGGGACTGGCAACCTCCTCTTGTTGAGTTCCCTATATAGAAAAAGAACAAAGTATTTAAAAAAACCTATGCATGAAATTGATCTTTATTTTGATGAAGAAGTCAGAAGCTAATAACTGTATGTTAACTGTATATTTTCTAATTACTTTCAGTTGCATTGAGCTTTCAGAGATTCAGCAAAAAGAGATTATGACTTCATCATGTGTGATTTGAAGGTTAGAGATAATTGTATCAAATGCCTGTCCATTTTGTTCCTAATGCCTGTTTCCCAGCAAATCTTTGGTATGTACTGACAATTTTAAGACAAACAAGACACATTTTAATATTTTGTAAGTACAGCTTGTATCTCATTACCTCTTTATCTGACAGAGATGTCCCGCTACTTTTGCCACTAGGCATCTGGTCTTTCCAATTTAAAAAGTTGGCAAACTCTGTATAATTGATTTGTCCATCTTGATCTGCATCACAGTAGGTCAGGAGAGACTTAAGAAGCTCATCTTCAACAGGCAGGTTAAATTCTGTGCAGATTTTTGCCAGTTCTTCAAGACTTATTTTTCCTGATTTGTCCTATATCACAGAAAGAAATTAAAAAATATATGACAAACTGAATAGGCAGTTTTTAACTATAAATATTTAAAGTGAAATTTGTTTTTAGAAAGAGTTAGCTAATCGCTAGCCTTGGTCACAGTTTAAGAGTAATGCACCTATCAGTGTTAGGCCCCTCCAATAATTTTGACCTAAGTACTCCTTYGCCTACCCAATAATTTTAAACTAGTCCCCAGAAATTTTGGCCTTGTGTCCCTTTCCCCTTCCTCTTCTGTTTACCTTGTCATAATGTTCAAATGCAGCTTGCAGACTTTCAAAGTTATGGTAATTAGCTTTTTTCAGGTGTTGTCGTATTGCTGCTATCACACCCCTTTCTGCTTCCTTGCCTCTGAGGTACTTAGATGGCATGCGCATATGTATAAGGTCTCCTGCTCCATATTCATCAGGTTTAACCAAAACTCCAAACACATGGTCAGGTCCTACTTTTAGAGTGTCTTTTATAGGGTCATGAACCTGGCCAAGTTGGGGCTGTGTTCTTTCTCTGAAGTCATCCACTCTCTTCGATACTATCTTTGTGCACTTTTCCCTTCAAAATCATGGCAAATGGATGACAATTTTAGTGCTTTTCAATATTTCAATATGGCCATGCCCCAACCTAAAAATTTCATGGTATTTGCTTATTTATAGTTTTGCACAAGTAAAATGGCACATCGTGCTCTGAGACTAGGATTATGTCATTAGGAATGAAACCCAATCTTGATTACCTTAACATGGATAACAGTTAATTGCCATTTTTTTATYGTACATGGAATCATTCATCAGATTTTTGCAAGGGTAGATCCAGTGGTGAGGTCCAGTTCATACCCCATGGTCATAAATGTGGGGTTCAATTTTTTTATCTTAAAATTTAGTTTTGCCAGAGGGTTGAATTAAAATAATTGTATGAAGTATATAGGTTTGGATCCCCTGTTAGCGTTTGGAGTCCCCTTTTCAAAATTCCTCAAATCTGAAGATAATTAACTTACCGGATCCAAAGATCTACTTATGGGATCAAAAGATCAACTTAATTACTGGATCCAAAGATAAGCTTACTGGATCTGAAGATCAACTTACTGTTGTGTTTCATGGAGCCACTTTAAACTTTTCTTGACATGAATTCCATCATTATTGTGAGGTGTATCCACTCCAAATGTACTATCTTTTGGAACTCTACCCCAGTCATATTTCCTATCATAGCTTTCACCTAAAATAATGAATTTCATTGAATTAAGACCATTTGTACATGTGATATGTATGATATAACTTGTTGCAATATGACTAGAGCTAGCTATTTTGGAACCAAGCCTTGAATAGCCAAATTTACAGCCTTCTCAGAGAGGTTTTCTCATCAAGCAGGCTAGCTGTTTTCCCACTCTAAACTCTGCTGCCAACCATCTTATTTGGGAAAGTGAATTTTGTTCCTTTTTTGTTCAAAATTTGATAGAAAATTCATGCCATAAGAGGATCTCTGTCTCTTAAGAATACAGAGGAGTGGGTGGTATGGTGATCTAGCCACATTATTTTGGAGAAATTTTAACAAGATGTGCTATACTTTAGTATTCCTTCATATGTAATTATAGTTCACCCCACCCCTGTTCCTTTGCTGCGAACCTTTGCTCCATGGGAAACAAGTCTATTTGATATGCCAGTATATATAATTTATATACTTACCAACATCATAGTCATGATGACTGAATTTGTAAAGCTCTTTTCCTTCTTGTGATTCAGTCATGACTTGACTAGCTTTTTTATCAGGGTTAACCATTTCTCCTGCTGTACCATCTTTTTTGAAATTAAAGGACAACAAGAATTAGATTTTAGCCCAGATCTGTGTAAAAATGTTGGTGAAGGTTTGTTGCACGCTGCATATCAAGCTTCAAGTGTATTATATTCATATGCAAAATTAATGATGTCAGCAAAGAAAAATATATATACCAGAAAAACAATTGCAGACAAATATTCATTAAAAAGTTTGGGGAAAACTCCACCATATTGTGATGGTGACCTTTCACTGATTTCATTTACATCACTGATGGTGCATTTTGGTTTTTGTATGCAACATGTAACAAAACCTTCATCATTCTGTTACAAATTAGTTCAGTATACTGATGGATATTATTGTCTTCTATATATTGCCATAGGTGAGAGTAATAAATTTCTGGAACCAACCATTAAGTCAATGGTCATCAACATTTACCATTAAATGTTATCCAAAAATTAAACCTGAAAAATATTTTGGTTGCTTTATAATTAAGTGTCTGAAAACCGTTTCAATAGTTTAATTATAATTAACTTGGTCTTACCTTTTATAGTTTTTACACCGTAGCAATCTTCATTTAGTTTTGCTCCTTCAGGTAAGTTTTTTAGCTGATCATGACACTCTCCTGGAAAAAATAGAGGATGGTATATTGGCAAGACTTTCACTGTYAATTAACTTTGTTAAGTTCTAGGGAAGGGAGAGGACTCCTTTTTTCATTCTATTGTCATTTTGCTTCAGTGTCTAGAAAGGTTTTTCTCTAATTTGCTACATTTCATTCAGTATCTTGACCCTCACCTTTGAAATAATAAATTATTAGGACCTACCCTTATTGCATCATTTGATATTTGAAATGATTTGATAAATAAGGCTTCTTTAAATATAACTGATATAACCATTAGGGTGGATCCAAGGAGGCAGTGCAGTGGGGCTAGGAATTAAACTTTGTAAGGAAAGTATTTCAGGGACCATGGAGTGTAATTCTGATTGTACATTTGAGGGCTAATGATCGCCAAAGGCAGAAACACCTAGGGTGTTCAAAATTTTTAAATGTTATATGCAATTTCCAGTGTCATGAGGGGCAATTGAGACATATTTAACATGGCAGCAAAATAATTTGGGGCTTTAACCCCCAGCCCCCCCCCCCCCTCCAGCTCTGCAGTCCTTGATAATATACATGTATTGTTTAGACTTCCATTTCTAACAAATATAAGATGGATATTGGCAAAATGGTATTGTATTTTTACATTTCCATCCTTGAGCTTCCCTGGTTTGGAGAGGTCCTGGTTGTGCCCTTGCTTATTTATCCATCCCTATCAGTCATCTCAACRAGGCAAATGATTACTTGTCTGTTTATATCAGCATTAAGTTAATTTGTTCAGATGCAACTCTAGATCTCTTTGTTCCTTCCACAAAGGAGACTGTACCATTACATATAATAAACAATTCAATTAGTACTGTACCTAGCGGTGCATTTTTACGACTGGCATAAATTGCTTCCTTTTTGTCTAGCATTCTTTGAGAAAAAAGTGTTGTTTTGGGTGGGTTTACCAGGTCTCCAGCCTGAAGAAAAGATAAGTTATGTTAAAGGTGCAGTAATAAGGGCATCAGAAATTAATGCAACATGTTGCCCAAACATAGCTGTGTTGGAAGTTGTTGAGCAGATGTTGCTTATATTTACCACTCCTTCTGCAACAAATTTTCACAGCAATGCATTTTTTTAATGTGCAGAGTGGTAAAACCAGCAGCATTTGCTCTGCAACTTGTTGTGCAATATTGTTGCCAGTGTTACATGCAGCACCTGATATTATATATTTTTTATTGACTGATTGAATTTAAATATAATTACACTTGACAACTCACCCAAAGAGATGGTTTTGTACTGACACCATGATTTATTTGTGCAGCAATGTTTGGGTCATCAGCTCGGCCATAGAATATTCTCTCTACACCTGCTCTTGGTCTCGTAAATGCTTGAAATTTCTTAACATTGTTTGGATATTCATTCTAAAATATAAAAAATATACATTGATGTTGAAATTAGGGACTCACTTTTTGTTGGAGATGGTCAAAGTGTCCTTCAAGCCCAGCTCTACACGAAAGATTGTCACTGATTTTCAAGTTTGCGAAAAAGAAGAATATTTTCTGAAATATTACTTGATTATATACCGGTACTCGACAACAACAATCAACAAGTTTAATCAAAGAAACAATACTCAAGGGAATAAGGTCTGAAATTGGAAAGCATTTATAGTGTGTATGACATAACGGTGGTATGTGTTCATAAAATAAATGCTGTAGGCTTACCCCTTCATGTATCTGTAAACAATCATTAGTCGTACATCCCGATACACCAAATATTTTTCCGGCCTGGAAAAAAAGCGAAAATGTTATCAAATATTAAGGCTTAAACTCTTCATTAAATATATATCCTTTTCCGATTATTATATAAATTATAAATTATGTAAGGCTTTTTTTTTCTCTCAGCAGGTAAAAGTAAAATAAATTGTAAAACTGCTTCCATACAAAGTAAAATCTTATTGAATGAGAGGAAGATGTAAAAACTAATTTGCCAGTACAAAAGGATAATTAGACAGGCTTTCTCGTGCTACAATGAAGATACCCCTTACTAACTTTGTATAAGGAGTCGCGATTTTTCGCATTTTAAAGGTTATATAGCTTTCTTTTTCGCTAAAGAGAATCGCATAAATCGTATCAAATGAATTAAGATTAAAATCAGAATTCTTTTAGTCTCTAAGCTTTCGAAACGTTTTGTCATTTTCTTTACTAAAAAACCGAACCCAAAATATTCTTCTTTACTTACAGCTGGGATATCCCTGTTTCGGTCAATGAATCTTCCTTCGTTGCTCAGCATTTTTAGGCCTTTGGTTATATTTTCTCCAAATAATGCTCACTTGAATACGATTTTTTTCTCCGGAAAGATAGAAACGAATACAAGAAGCCAGGTGGTCAAAAAATTACAATCCTGAAGTAAAATACCACGCACCCCCGCTGAATGAATCTACAATGGTATTCTGAAGCTCTATAATTGCTTTAAAGAAGTAGAATGAAAGCCAAGAAGTAGAGCTGCTAAACGAGTATCTTTGTTCAGGACGTCCAAGCAAGTAAATAAACTTTGCTGGGTTGCCACGTTATATGATTCAAGCGTCTCGTAACCTAGCAACAAGCTTGCTGGAACGCTTCCGGTCTCTCGATTGCACTTCCGGTGTGATCCGATTACAAAGACTATTGTCAAGTCATCCACACTCCGCTCACGCCACAGGCAGCCCAAACAAGGTTCCTGTGTATGGTTTATAAGGGAATGTATGGGAGTTATGATAAAGTTACGAAAATAAAATGTTTCACTCAACGATTTGCTTCAAAACTTGTTGCAGTCGTTGCTTTTACTTTGTTCAGTCTTCTGGCAACGTTTCAGCGCGATTTGAGGCCGTTTAGTGGGTTTTTTCAAAATCCGCTCTTCTCTACCTAAATAATGGTTATTAGGTAGAGAAGAGCTGATTTTGAAAAAAACCATTAAACGGCCTCAAATCGCGCTGAAACGTCGCCAGGAGGCTGAACAATGTAAAAGCAACAACTGCAGCAAGTTTTGAGGCAAATTGTTGAGTGAAACATTTTATTTTCATGACCTTAATCATAACTCCCATACATTCCCTTATAAACCATTCACAGGAACCTTTTTTGGGCTGCCTGTGCTCACGCTATAAAATGATGAATATACTACATTGCTATGCTATATTTTTGGATTAGTTTGATTATGAGATTTACCAGTCGTGAAAGATAGGAAGATAGAATGTGGATTCCAAATATAATTTATTCACGTATTTACAATTTTTAGCATTTTTGTATTTTGATTCTTTCAGGTGACTTTTAGTATTTACTTCTTTCCATCGTACTTTCTAAAAAAAAGAATGTTTCAGATGATCCTAACCCTAAAACTCTCTGTTATCACGTATGAACAATCGATTACGCTTTTGATTGGGCTTCCTGTGACTAGGCGATTTTCCCGCCATTTAACGCGCGCGCGCGCACATCTGACTTGAGGCGAAGGGAAGGCCACCTTCACGACTCTTCACGCCTTCGACCACTTCACTATGCACACATGGAAAAGGAACATTTTCTATATTTTATTCATTTTTTTCGTGGTAATTATGCTTTATCCTCTTAAGCTTATGCTAACCAAACCTTTCGTGATTCAAATTTGGAGGAAAACAAATTAGAAAGGAGGACAAATGCGTTCTTTCCAGTTGCTCAAGGCTGTGCTTAATATAAAGGTAAGCTTTAACCTTTGCAGATAAATTATTAAATTTTACAAAGCTTAGAGTGGTGCCATTAAAGGCAAGATAAAAAAAAGACTTGGTAATGTGTAATAGTCAAATATGCATTAAAAAAGATGGAAGTTAGATCTACTAACCCCTATGCGTCTATAAATTTACTAACTACGACCAAGAACCACTCTTCTTTGTGCTTACTTGTGTATTTAAGATTATAAGCCTTTGTCCTTTTACTTGCTTTCTAATGTTAGTAATGAAGTTTAAACTGTCAAAAAGCAGCTTTATTGCTTTAATTTATTTCCCACAAGTAAAATATTTTTTGTAGTCGAAATTTTATCACTTTCCGTCTCCCCCTCGGGACAATCCTTTTTTGACGGGGGATTGGTACTAGTGATCATTCGATCCCTGTTCTGATCATTACCTAAACAAAACAGTGTCTTGGAGGGATGCGTTGGATAAGTCAGTAAAATGTCTAAGATTCCCTTATGCCGAATGAGAAATGGCTTACAAATTCGTAGAATTGTCAATGGGATGTGGCAAGTTTCAGGGGCGCATGGACCCATCGATGAAGGAAGGGCAGTGAACGAAATGTTTTCGTATTTTGACGCAGGTCTTACAACATTTGACATGGCCGACATATACGGTCCGGCCGAAGAAATCTTTGGCAAATTTCTACGTGAATTAGAGTCTGAACGTGGTTCTCATGCTAGAGAACAAATACAAGGTAAGAAAGCATCAAAATATGGAAGAATTTTGTGGCGGGATCCATCAAACGTCGTGATTATGCTTACATACAGTAAATATTTTGTCCTCGCCCATCTGAGCGGGAAGAACTTTATTTACATATTTTGGCGGTTTTAGCGAATCTCAGCAGATTTGGTTAGTTATTAATCTGGTTGTTTTCAAAGACGTATTGCTCTCTTGATGTTTCTACATCGAGGAGCTATTAGATTTTATATTTGCTTCGTGTAAGATTGGAGGATATTTCGGAAGTTTTTCTTCACCATCCCGTGATTCGCTGTACCGAATGCGTAGTTTCAGTGCAGGGGGCGTTACCGATAAGCTAGTTTCGTACGCGCTGTTATATTTAGATACATTTTGTGTTTCTGATTGTATAAATTAGACATTAGCCAGGTCTTATTTGAAATGAGATAAGCTTGATGGTGTGCAGTCAAGAGGTTTWAAAAAATCCGTATCTAATTTTGATGCGTATATTCCTTTTAGGAAGGGGGATCTCTGGTAACGCCATTGTTGAAATTTTGCTTCATTAGCATTCAAATAGATAGGAGCTACTATAAACTTGAGAGTGTTTGCTCAATACTTGACTGGCAAACATATATATATTTTATGACTGGGCAGTAAAATTACAAATCTTTTGTGTGGTGTTGACAAAATTCCATATATCGCTTAATGCATCATTTCTTATGACTTGATATTCATCTGTTCAGATAATAGCTCTTTGCATAGATTACAAGTGGATCATTTTAAAATATTCAATCTGATGATGAGAATGTAAGAGCGTGTTCACACTTGCTGATTCATAAGCATGGTGCTCAAGAGTATGCTATGGGCTCTTCAGTGAATGGAGCTTATTTTGAAGTACCCATGCTAAAATCTAGGGACAGGTACTAAACTGTGTTAGATTACAATGAGGTTGGGACCTTGTATTCAGGCACCAAGTGTCCAAGCACTATAGACCCAGATTTGAAATCAGCTATAAATTTGGGTTTAAAAATTTGTTATTCAAAAAAAATTATGGATTTTTTTCTATAGTAGGCAGCCACTTTAAATTTAAAATGTTTGACCATATCGGCACAATTTCTGAGTTATTTCAATCAGCACATGCATTGCTTCAAAAGTTTGTTGGGGTTTATCCATAAAGACATTGGATTTCATGCTACTTGAGTGTTTTACAAATCACTGAATCAAACTTAATAAAACTTGAACCAATCAGGAGCAAGCAATTAAGCTTAGATATCTGAGGAAAAAAATAGATATTTACAGTATTGAACTTCACWCTTCCTTTAGCTATATTTACATACAGTAAAGTTTACAGTTTTCATTAGACCTGTAGCCTGCATGCAGCCGAACTAACTAACTGTTAAGTCTGTCTGCGACCCAGCGACAGCTTTCTTGTTCCGTTAACCCCAGCAGCGTACCTGGATTTCAGTACGCGTTCTGATTGGCTCTTGATATTATAAGTTTGCTGATTGGCTATAAATTTCAGTCTCTACACAAATTTCAGGCTAGTTTGTTCATATGATTTTCATGTGTGTTGGTTCTTGCCAGGAATAAGACTCAAATTTATGTCTCGTTTATTGCTAGTAATAACCATAATTTGTATTTTATGTCCTCGAGAGTTATCAAAGCGAAATGTTTGTTATCTTTGTTTAAGGAAAGTCAAAGTTAAACGTGAAGTGTGAGTTGGAGATTTATTTTCAATCGTGAGAGCGAGTATATAATATGCAAGTGGAGCTTTCAAACCTTGTCGAAGAGACGACGTTTAACCCCTAAAAAAAGTCTTATCAAAGGGACTAGCAAAGATAATACATCATGTGTTCCCACATTCACAAGACCAATTCCCGCTGTTCTTCCTTATTCGCCTTATCAGAGAGAAACCGCTGTTAAGTCAATACGTGCACATCTGTCCATTAAGGGGAAATGAATATCCAAAGAAAAGCTAAGGAGAGAATGCTGCCAGAAGACTTAGAATCTCTGGGCAAGATACTGATTCGCAGAACCTATAAAAAGATCGCTACTGTAGCTTGGAAATGTCCCTCTCTTAAGAAAAAACTAACAGCTCTTGATGTAAAGGACATAGAGAAGGAGGCAGCACAGCTGTGTTCAAACTGAGATTCGACAGCTGAAAAAGCTTAGTTCCACAAGTCCTCACTAAAATTCGCCATTTTGATTTCAGCAAGACTGAATAATGTAGACAAAGGCTCTGATAACCAATCAGAAACGGCTTTGGTTATGACCAATTAGAATTTAGTCTTCAAATCCATATGCGGGGGHGTGGGGTCTAGAGAACACGGTTTGTGTTGTTGCTTAGCAGACAGACTATACGAGAGAAAAGTCCAGCTGCACGCAGGCTATTAGACCTGATGATGCGGTCGAAACGATTGTTACAACAGTTTGAAGATTGCACAACAACATACTAATGATACAGGTCAGACTCCCAACTTTAAGAACACTGCAATTGTGGCGATTGAAAAAAAGAAAAAAAAGAGAGATGAGATCTCATGAAGCCAAACACTTTTGTTAAGCCAATCTTAATCAGCTTTATCTGCATGGTGTCCATTTTGGAACCTTCCTTTTTTGTGACTACTGCCTCGAAAGAGGCAAAGCCACTATGTCATCAAGTTGTGAGTGTCTGTGAGTAACTGATGCACAGGAAGCCCAAATTCGGAGGTTGTTCGTGCCTGCTCAAATCGAATGGTGATAGATGGTAATATAGCAGCAATGATAGCGATAGTTTCATGGTCATAGCAATTTTACAATACAGCTACTACAATATCCATGTTTATTATAGTCATTTTCTGTAGTCAGCGACTGTCTGTTTTTTAAATCATGGATCCGCTACCGGCCCTTTACATGATCGTAAAGCTGAAAATGACCACATCAACATGTAGCACAAATTTGAAATTTCCATGTGAAAGTATGCTAAAAAGCACTGTCTAACTTCTCTCTGAGATCTCTTTACCTCTCCCAGATTTACCATTATTATATATCTGACATAGACTGAAAATGTGACCAAATCATATCTGACACTAGCCAACTTGGTTAGCRTTGGTTAAGACAATCTGGCAATAGGCCATTTGCAGCAAACAGTCATTTGCTGATATAACACTTTGGTAACAAATTAATTCAGCCAAARGTTCCTCGTGGAAGGCTTTGCTGGATGGCAAACAAACTTTGAATTGCTTTGTAACTTGAAATTAGAAGTATGTTATGTTCTGCAGATTTCTTGTTCTGGTCACTAGAAGATTTTTCTTTAATTTTATTTTTAGGGTTGGTTGGTTTTACTTACAGAGAAGGAGTTTAAGATAAATCAACTGTTTTCATGGTTTAATACAGTGTAGGTCTATTCCTTTAAAAACATTTTGTAAAACATGGAAACTTGCACTAATGTTAGATTGCATAGACAGATATCAAATGTAGTGCCAATTGCTGCTCATCATGAGTTGCCTGATATCTGTCAATGTATAGCTAAACTTTATGCTATGTATATATCAACTATTTGGTAGACAAATCAGAATGAGTGTAAAAATAAATTGGCATAGCAGCCAAACACAGCCTATAATGATATAGCAACCACTCTGGTGCATGGTTGGTCCAGCTGGGGCCCAGTTGTACAAAAGGTAGCTTGTGTTGCAGGCGGTCTGTTTTTTGTTTTTGGCAGGGGGGGGGAGGAGGAAAGATTACTTTCAGTAGCCGCCTACTAACCTGGCTTATCGTAGTGTAATGAACCATCCCTTTTAATATGCAATCAGAATAGAGCAGTAATATAATATGTCTACTTGAAGAGTGCAAACATCACTGGAACCACAACTTGCTAGCTAAGTAATAATGTTAAATTTTTCACCTTGAATTTTTATAAAATTCACTGAAACCCTTGCAGCATCTTTTTGTCACACTTATTTATCTCCTGTGTGAGTTAGTAAGCTAATTCAGAAAAATTCAAGGTAAGAATTTTAATATTTGTTACTGACAACTGTCGGATCATATCCAGAAAGCTAAATTACGAGCTTGGAAAAAAATTTCGTTCCCCTTTATTTGGGTGATTTTTCTCAAACTTTGCCAGAAGACTCATTGATTATCATTCTTTCATGTGTCATAGTTTGGAGAGCATAGAATTATTTTTCTTGTAGACTTCGTGGAGAGTGTGAGTGCAATTGAGGTCCAGAAGGCCCCTAGGCTGTGTAATTTTTGTGCTCGAGTAGCGAGTGTTCACCACCCAAATAAACAGCTTAATGACAGCATTAAAATGCATTGGATGACAAAATGAAACACATTTTAGACGATTGTAAGTATYAAACTTGAAAATTATGCACTGGATAAGATTTATTTGTTGGATAGAGCTATTCACCCTTTGTACAACTTGGCCCAAAACAATGAATCTTGCACCTTAGACTTTCAGGCCGTCTTAATAACCAGAGTTGCACCAGGCAAACTAGCTAGCTTCACTTTGGATTTATGTTTTGACAGGCTCTCTTTTACCCTCCCCTTTTGACACCTAAAAATATCTTCCTCTCAAATAAAATTAATGACAACAAATAATTTTCATTTGCTTCAGCCTTAACTAAATGGGTTCCTTTGCCTGGTGTAATGACAAGAAATGTAGTTGAAGCAAGCATTGAAAAGTCCATGAAGCGAATGGGTGTGGACAAGTTGGATATGGTGCAGTTTCATTGGTGGGATTACTCTGACAAAAGGTACCTAGATGCATTAATACATCTTGCAGAACTTAAAGACATTGGTAAAATTGGGGAATTATCCTTAACAAACTTTGATACTTGCCATTTGGAAGAAATCACAAAAATGGGAATTCAAATTTCAAGTAATCAAATTCAGTACTCAGTAATTGATAACYGACCTTCTATAAAAATGTCAAAGTTATGTGAAGAAAATGGGATATCACTACTTACCTATGGAACTGTGGCTGGTGGGTTCCTATCTGAAAAATACTTGAAGCATAAAGAACCCAGAAAAGAGGAGCTTTATACAGCATCTCTTCAAAAATACAAACAAATGATCAATGCATGGGGTGGATGGAGTTTATTTCAGGAACTGCTCTCAGCCCTTGATAAGATTGCCAAATCTCATGGACCAGACGTAAGTATAGCCAATGTGGCATCACGCTACATTCTAGACCAACCTGCTGTTGCAGGCATCATTATAGGATGTCGTCTTGGAGTGCCAGGTGCACAACATATAGAAGATAATTTAAAGACTTTAGATTTGAAGTTAACATCAGATGATTTTGAAACTGTGCAAAAGGTTTGTAAGAAAGGTCATGATTTGTTCAAAGCAACTGGAGATTGTGGTGATGAATATAGATAAAGATAAATTATTAAATTTCTACTACTGCAAGAAATAATATTTTCAGTGTGTAAATAATATTTTTCTAACATATTGTATACTAATTTATTATTGTATGTTTTATGCAAGATATTTTGTATTATAGTTCTATCTTTGTTCCAATCTATTAAAGATATATAAAATTATTTGTACATCATGCTATATTTACTAAATTGAAACCATTTGTGTCTTGAGATAACTGTGTTAGCTAGCTTTGTCAAAGTCAATTCTCATATGATATGCTATTAATAAGATATAGGACATTATTTGGAAGAAAAATTCACAAATCCAGAAATCAATCTTGTTTACAATAAAGATTTCCAGAAGTATTTGTATAAGCTCTGTTTCCATGGCAACTTGTTTTGGTTTTCAAACTGTTGTTCTATGGTACAAATTCACAAATGTGATACAAATATATTCTGGCTAATATTATACTTTTTATTTAGATTCTAGGGATCAATTAAAATATGTTTAAAAATAATCGTTACCTATTACTGCATATTATCCTGTTCATTTTATTTTAAATCTTTAACTTGATAAAAAAAGAGTAAAGATTTCAATAACTAAAAGATTATAACATTTAGGTCTTATTTATACTTCAGAAATTTGAGTTATACAAATAGGTTGATTTAAAAAATAATTGAAATTATTAATTTATTAACTAAGATAGTAAATTTGATATCCATATCATTTTTTCTGTTTTCGGTTTAAGGCTTATTTCGTCGCTAAATATAGTGTGTGTAAAAATATGTAAAATGTAAGAACATTCTTATATATAGTATATGCAGTGATAAAATAAGTGCTAAACTGATATCGATTGGTCATTAAATGTGGCTGCTAACCTGCATGAGTCTCCCTGTAGCTCAGTGGTTAGAGCATTCTAATGTGAAAATTCTAATGTGCTATCAATATAATTTCTACTGAATTTGATGCCTAAAAATCACCTATGTATAAAATGTTATGATTTTTTTAATGCCTTTAATTTTGTTTTCGCTGTTATTTATGAAAATACATTTGCAATTCTTATATCAATGAAATTTTATATCAGAGCTACACTCTAGCTAGTTAATTCAAATGCTGTATGGTTTTTATTTCCCAATTTTTTTTAAGGAAAAAAGGCAGTTTTTTTTGTAATCAGTTCTGTAAAGTAAAACTTTTAACTTGTTTACCATTTCATAACAAGCCCAAATTATTTAATTCTTTTATAAAAAAATGCAGTTTAACTTTGTGTAATTTCATTTGATTGATGATATTAGAATTAGAGAAAGGTTTTCCCTAACAAATGTAATGATGGTTTTTATCTTCACTACTAGACATGTTTGATATATTTGACAGTTCTGAAAATCACAAATTACAATTTTCATCATGCTTTTAGTCTGTAATATATTTTAATTATTACTGAACAAAAATGCTAGCATCTATAAGCATTATTAATACTTTGTAAGTCTATGATATTTCTAATAATTGAAAACATTGGCATGATTGATGTGATGTAATTCATTGCCATATTGTATACGCTATTTTTATTATTCTTATATGACAATGTTCTTGCAATTAGGTGTATACTTATATAATAAGAGTCACAGACCCCATATGAGACAGACAGCCTATGATTTATGATTTTTTAATAAGTCGTTTATATATAGTAAGATTTTGTAATTGAAAATAATATATTTCAGGATCAGACACATTCCTGTCACACAGCTGGTCCAAGTTTGAGACATGCAAATGCTTGAACACTAACATCATATAGGTTTACTTAAAGTAACAAATTTTAAAAGAAAACTGGAAGAAAAAGGGAAAAAAACGCTGTACAGTACATTTTGAAGTCTTTATAAAAATGACTTCCATTGAATGTCTTTTTAAATTTCAAACAAATTGTCTCAAGGGTATGAGCAAACGATTTTGTCTTTCTTTTCTTTTATTTCTCTATTTTTTATTTCATTTTCAACTTCGAACAGCTGTAAGTGGGGTGTTTTTAAAGGTGTTTATAGGTTCCTGAAGCAAGTTTTTCTAAAGCATCTTTAGTTGCTCAATGCTGTAGCTTGTAAACATCACTTAAATTGCTAGTCTAAACATTCCTTTTATTCAAATTTCCATTMAAAAAATCTACATAAATATTTTTTGTACTTTTCCTGACTATGGGTGATCTTTGATCATTGATCTTGATTTAACTCGACTCGTACTCTCAGAAATAAAAATATAACATAGACTACTATATCAATGCACGCATATTAAAAAGGGCTACATAAGTTTTATCGATAAATTTTTGGAATCTTTTTATGCCTTAGGAGTACAAAAGCAAATATCGTTATACAAGATCAAAAACGGTAAAAGCTAGTACTGTATTGATAAAGTATAAGAATTCCATTTCAGGTAAACATAAGTGAGAGGATGTGAATTGAGTTGAAGGTATTGAATTTCTCCTCTTAATTAACTCATGTTTCATCCGCTTTTCAAATTTCATAGGCAATATATAAAATCTTTGCAGAGCAGAAAGTAAAACAAAAACAAACAAACCCCCTTAATTAAACTCATAAGCGATTGAGAAATTTCGATTTAAAAATTTATAATTCGCGATATATGAATTCTGAACATTTCTTTAAATAAGCTCAGTCTGATACATTATATTTCATAAAAGCATTTTCCAGTATGCTTTATTGTAATTTTTTCTAAACTCAGACTGTCATTCGAAATAGTACTCTCATGTTGCCAATCATGTGAATCTGTCATGTGAATGAATCTCTGGTACACTGATTTAGTCGAATTGTTTACCGCTGAATGAATACTAAATTACCTCGCTTTTGTCACAGATTTAATGTTGATTACCCAAAGCTTAATCGCTACAGAATAAATTCCTTTCAAATATAAATTGTGGTACTTATTATGCATTATTGCGTGAGAAAAGAAAGATCTTTTGCAGGCTAACAAAAAAAATTAACCGACAAAGCCTTGCTCTGGTTGATCGTAATTCCACTTGGCTAACCTTTGGAGCGTACATAAGTTTATCATACTCATGAACCCGTAACAAATGCATTCAGTCCTGCAGTCTTGGCGTCCTATTGCCGTATTATGAGTCACTCTGTTGACGTAGACAAGGACTGAAGGATGAGTCGTCATGCATCGAAGACTTGTAACACAATAACTGGGACAATGACTTGATGCCCCAATAACTTGTTTTCATTACACTCGATTAATGCGTGGGAAATAAAAGCGTATTCCATTTCTTAAGGGTGAGAGGTCAAAGATAGCTAGCTTCTGGAAAAACAACCAGGGTACGGCGACGCGGTTTTACGCTTTACCTCAATAATTATTTCTTTACAAATGGTTTTTGTTGTTATTTCTACTATACTATTTGAATGTGTGATTCACTTGCAGATGGAGAGTTATTTCCATCTCATTGTAATATGTACCACTTAAGTTAAATATTTATGACATCGTTCGTTGAAAACTTAACCTTTGAAAAAATGTGTTATTTCAAAAACATCAAAAAACTGTGGGAATAGTTATTATCCTTACGATTTACATATATAGCTATGGTATTATGTGTAGCTACTTTAAAAGCACTGGTAGATTCGTAATGGTACACTTGAACCAGAGTCGTGAAGGGACAGCTTATTACTAAGTACGTCTGGTATTAAGGACATTCTTATTTTGCATTTGGAATATTTATCGACTCAAACGCTGTTGCCGCCGAACGGCTGATTTCTCTTTTGTAAGGGATATTTGAATTCATTTAGCAAATATAATATTTCCACGGGACTAAGTGTCATGGCGGACTTATGTTTCTGTCATAACCTAACAAGTCTCTTTAAACGTTTTCCGTTTCTGTTTATTCATCTACGATCGGTTTTTAGAATTACTGGCCTAATAGATCTAGTTATTCCTAATCAACATATTCAGAATTTCTTGAGATAAATGGCTTTTGAAAAATGTGTATGATCTTTTAAAATTTAATGACTTTGTCCAGGTGCTCGCCTGCTAAATGAACTGCTTTGGCTCCTCATGCTTTCTGATGAGCGTCTATGAATTAATATCTGTAGTATGAATCAAAACTGAATAGAATTACGCTTGCCGGCCCTGCATTCAATTTTATGAATTGGCAATTGTAGAAAGCTAACCCCTACTCGCTTAACCGGTGTCCAAGTTGCATATACAATCACACCACTGACTTGGTTTCATTGACGCTAAATAGTATATAGTCTGAAACAATATGCAGATCAAGCAAGCGTTATTGAATGAATGAGTACTTTCTCTGGTTATTTCGAAAAGGTCCTTTCTTGCTTACTTTTCGCGTATAAACAAACAAAATATAAATTAACCCTGCAAATTCGATAAACACTTTGCGGTGCCAAATATGTACCAATATTTTCTTACTTCGACACTTATTTATTTCTTTTCGATTACCCTCACTTATCTCATAAACATTTTTCGACCTTAAATTAAATGAAAATAAAACTGGACTGATATGATCTATAGTGAGTATAGAAACCACAAACTCCTTAGTACAGTAATGACAAGAAAATAAATACTAGAATTACGAGTAGAATTTAGATATAGTAACGTAGTAAGCGTATTTCATATAAGACACTACCATCCATGACTGCTCCGAGTCTAGCATGACTCCTGAAGGTAGACCATGAAGTGCATCAATAAATCGTTGATCAATAGCAGATATCGATAGCTCAGTATATGAAGATATCTTTTAAAAGCAAAGAAAGCACATAAATAATATTAGAAAGCGTCCTTCCTTAGCCTCTATAGTATGCAGCGAACATCTGTTCTACAGCTCTCTCTTTTCCAAACTAATAAAACGCTTACGAGAAATGGTTATGCTTCATTTTCAATTTTAATATATTCTATATACACTTCTCTGTTTCTTTTACATGTGGACGATATATATTTACAACTTTCGATCTATAGACTTTCTTTTTATGTTATTTTCTTGTCTGAATTTGAATGTAATGGATCGAAGTCATGTTCGATGGAGGACTAAATTCTATTTACATGGTATTTCTTAACCATTATAATATTCATCTATTTTAGACAGATGACAATTTGAAACCTATGGGTTGTAGCCCATTCCTTTCTAAACATCTGTAATGAAACAACTCTAGTAGGGACTCCTTTTTACGTTCTTACTGAACAACCTGATTATTTAAAGTAAGCCTTTCTTGTTCTCTGTTTCCGCTACTCATTTATATGCAAACAATCTGCTTTCCATTTGTCTTGTTGACAAAGCGTGACTTCACGAGCAGTGTAAATTAAAATAAAGTCTAAGTAAGGCAGCAAGATGTATAGATTCGATGCTGCTCGGTGTTTTCCTTGTTACGCGTTGTTTTGGAATCATATGTAGCGAATATCATATGACGAGTTCACGGCGCCTTCACTAAGCACCTGGGGTCGACTCTGAATTATTTATGGAAATATTCTAATTCTCCACAATGGCAAGTTTGTGAGATCGATTCTAAATTAAAATATCCTTTCTAGCATAGTTCTTCTCTATGCGTGTCTCTTCATGTGTAAAGCTAGATGGTCCGATCTTGAAAAGCATCTATCACAGTGCACACATTTGAATGGTTTAGCTCCAGTGTGTTTTCGATAATGGCGAGTAAGCTCGTCCGAACGAGCAAACCGCCAATTACAACCTTCCCAAGAGCATTTGTATGGTTTTTCTCCAGTATGCGTTCGTTGATGAGCTTTAAGATGAGAGCTTTTTGTGTAGACTTTGCGACAGCCACTAAAATTGCAGCGATGAACTCTACGCTTACTTTCAGCTCCGTCCTTCGGACTGCTAGCTCTGTTAACAGCATTACTACCTTTAGTGCGAGGTACACGCGACACAGGTCGCGGTGCCCGTTGTTGGTTGTTACTCACGACTATCGTAGGTACTGAGGATTCCGGTGAGCTTGGTGGAGTTAAGGGTAAAACTGGTTTAGACACCTTACTAAGATCCTCAGAAACATTTATGGGTAACTTGATCTTTAGTGGCTTTACCGTGAGCTGCACACACGGCTTCGGTTCAGTTGGAGTTTCTGGTAAAACTGTAGGTACAGACGGCATAGTCGGGGATGAATTAAAATCAATAGGCTTGATATCCCAATCGTCTCCGAAAGGAAATGTCGCCTCGTCGAATGGCAAAAGAAATTCGTTCCAAGGTGTCGGTGTTCCTAAATTTGATTCTTTATTTTCTACTGTGCTAGGTTCAGGGCATAAATATCGGTCCATTTCTAAGCGTGTCTGAAAAAAAAACAAAAATCATTAAAATTGACAATGTATTAGCATGTTATTCCTGAGTTGATCAACGAACAGAAAGTGAAACATATTCGCTACTGTCAGAACATCGCCACCAGCTAGTTTGTCAAGGCAAGTGTGTGGTAAAGATCTGTTTTTCTTATAAAAATACCAGGACCTCGTGCTAAGCGAAAGTACTGTAAGAAACAGAGTAAAGTGAGACGTAAATATATCGTTACCTGTGCCCAATCGTCTTCAAGTGAAGGTAGAGAATAGAAATAGCCGGTATCGTGGACCGTTTGTAACTCTAAGAATATTGTAGAAGAAGGAATAGGTGATTGAAGATCCATGATTGAGAAGGAAGGTAGGTTGAAGCACGGTGATGAGTGCAAGGAGTGAGTGGACTACGGCCCAGTGCAGCGCTGGAATTTGGCAAATATATAATCTGTAGCACAAAACACTTGGGTCTTGGTAGTGTCATGCACTTCACCGACGCACAAATCAATCGCGGAAATTAGAGCGGGCCCAAAGTTCCATTGGGTACGTGCTGTATTTAATTGTGATTTCAATCTGCAACGTTTGATTGGTCAATACAAGACAAAGAGACCAATCACTGATCTGCTTTTGTCAACTTTGACAATTAGTCAAAACAACGAAAATATCCGGCCAATGGGGAGCAATCAAGAATTATCATTCAGTCTTCTTTTTAAAGGCCTTATATGGCCACGTCTATTTCGGGGAATGATATAAAATCAGCTGTGGAGTCGAACATTCAACATCAACTCAATTTATGAAAATAACCGATGCTAAAATCCTTAAGAATATTCTAAAAGCACTCGAAAGTCTTCCGCGATGGATTTCTTTTTTTTCGCCGTTCGGTCAATTAGTTTTTGGGGTCGTTTTTAAATAAAAATCTCGTTGTTATTCATGTAACACCATTGTGACAAAAATAATCGTGACTATGGAGCCAGCTCGTCATGTCACTTTCCCGCGAACTCAGTGACCTGTTGTTTCGGTGTCTGTGATTCTAACTGTAGCTATAACGCATTCACCAGAAGAACCTTATCAAATCTAGTAAAGATCGCAAATTAAACATGATTTTATACCATTACGGATTTAGGTTGTAGCTGACGTGACAACCAGCTGACTCGGTAAGCTTTCTGCTGTATTTTGTCAAAACAACAGTCGGATATGCAGAGATTAAAAGTTGAAAACCAAGCAGTGGCACTTTTGCCAATTTTTTTACACGAGTGAATCAAATCGAACTACAAGACTGCTAAAACAGGTAGTTATAACGCTTCTATTCGTAGAGGAATTATAGATAATGATCTCTCTAATTCCCTTCGTCACGTGAAGCTTCGGGAAAAAATGATTCTGGTAAAGGCAGATAAGGCGGCTGAAGCGTATTCTGTGGTGGAACTAACGATTTTCTATATTTGTACAATTGTCTAATGCCCATAGGCTGTAATCTGTTTGTGCGTTGGCAGTGTGTTTGTCGATTATTGCAATAAAGTAATCTTTATATGACCCCTACGGCTATTTTGAAACGTCAATCAAGCGTTGAATGAAATTCTATACGATGCGAATAAATCAATTAGTTTTCCATTTACAAAAATAGAAAACAACGCGCAACTGCATCGGAAATATTGATCACGACTATTATTTTCAAAACAACAATCTTATTATTTGTAAGGGAATGTCACAACAGGTTCATAGCGCACTTTGTCCTAATTGTTGAATGAGTCAAAAAAAATCCTGTGTTCCATATTTTCAGAATAAAAGTATTATAGTCTGTGGTTTATTTGTCGTAAGAGGGCTGTTGTAACGTTGCAATTAGGTTAGTTTCTGTCATACTTTTAGATACGATTGTCGTAGATGTGTAGTTGTGATTTCGGCTTTAGATATGCAGTGCAAGTCTCCGCAGGATACGGTATACAATATCAACAATACTTGCACTTAGTCCGGTGCTTGGGGACGGGTGTGCAGGGACCTACAGACCGAATGATTGATTACCCAGTAGCCAGTAAAGGGATTTAGATCTTGTACAGTTTGTGTTCAAGAATACGACTTAGATATCGAAAGTCTTGAGCCCATTGACCTTGATAAAAAAGAGAAAAGAAATTATCTTTGTGATGAATAAAAGCAKTGGTACATTGTGAGTAAGACCATTGAAGTCACTTATACTTTAAAGAGCCAGTTGAGATGTCTGGCCCTAAATTCGTTGAAGCAGGGTTGCAAGGGGTTATTAGAGTCAGCGCGATTTCCAGATAAATGCGCCCAAACTTTTGATTAACGCGGTCTGTTTGTCATGATGCCGAACACAGTTGGTTTAGTAATCATAGTTTTCGTTCTTCGAGTGCCAACAGTCTCGTAAACAACGCACTATTTGGGCACGCTTAGAATAAACCATTTRTTTTTCTTGTAGAAAATAAACGCATGAATCGCTTTTGCTTAGCATAAGCAATTTCTCGTCCCCATGGCGTTCGTTTTCAACCTATGGCCCCAAATGCACCAGCTAGAACTGAACCCTTTCTTACTTKAAAACAAAAATGAGAGGCTTTAAGGTCAAAGTTCAAAACTTGAAGTGCATACTTGCGCGTGCCATTTGGATCGACAATAACCTGCTTCGAGACTTATACTATTTCTGATGTTTCAGACCAAACTAAGTGCGCCTGAGCCACATGTCAATTACGAAATAATTTCTCAATCAAAGAATTCAAGCCTATTTGAGTAAAAAGCTATTTGCGTAAATTTAGCAGATTATGTGTTGGTATTTAAGCCTAATCTTATTAAAACATGCAAATAGTCATTGGGTTTTATTTCTTTTGTTTTGCGACGTGTTAAATATCTTGTCACTTTAAGTAGTGCTTTGTTACCCCCGTAGTAAAGTCCCAAATTTGTCATTGATATGTACTCTTTTGAGTTCTCATAACATATATGACTCTTCGAAATAAAAGGACAATCCCCAAAAATTGACAGCCGGGAAGTTTTCCATAATTCGTTTTAAGTGTGTTTGGTTTAACAGTAATAGTAATATGACAATAATAACCTTATTTAATTAAGTGTCAATGTCTTTAACAGAAAATAAATTAAAATAAAAAGTAAAATATTAAAATCTATACCTATATCTATTCATAAATCTGTTAATACAATTAAACTATATTAAGAATTTCTCAGGAAATGCACCTTTTGCAAATATGGGTATCATTGACTAAAAGCTTATCTAGGTCCATTTTTCTAATTTTCATGTTAAAAGAGTTAATACTAACCGATGATCTTAGATCATATCAAGCTTTGACAAAATATGTGGCTCTCAATACCTAATAGAATGCTTACCATAACTAACAGTATCAAATCTTGTAATAGTTAAATCGGCATTATTCCTGATTGAATATCGCGAAAGTACACTGAAAAAGTCGTAACTGCATTTTATGACATTTCTATCGTCCCTATTCTAGACAAAAAGCCAACTATGGTGGAAAAGGTTTTCTTATACAATTTGTGTCGGTTGCCTGTATAAGTCACGCAGCTGCGATTCTTTTTATTGAAAGGAAACATAAAATATTGTTCTGGCGCCACATCAAACAGAGAAGTATTAAGCCCTTCGGCATAACAAATATCTAATAGTGTCTGTTAAAGATTACAGATATACATCTTCCTTTTTATTTCCTTTTCTAATTTTTTTATTTGAGTTTTACGCTCCGCAATAATTTCTTTTGTCGTTATCTTGCCTTCTTCACTAGCTAAAAATGCAAAACGATAAAAGTTATTTTTATTGCGAAGCCTTTCAACTTGCGCATGTCAGATACAGTGTGCAGGAAGTACCGACTTTTTCTCTCATGCAAACAACGTAGACTGACAGACATACTCCATGTTTAATACTCTATTTTATTCTTATATTACCTATAATCCATCCATATCACGCATCTTTTCATTTCGCTGTCCTGTCTTGTGATTTTATTTTTGTTATCAGCTGTGCATGCCAAGGTAAGTTTTTACTTCTGATCGATCACATTCCGTTTTCATTTCTTTTGTAGCCTTCGCTCTGGTCTTGGACATTTTTGAACCCAGAATACTAATTCAAAACTCAATCTGAACTAAAGATGTGTAAACAGCTTTACAGTTATTAAGGGCAAAATCTCTTCAACATGAGTGATTGTTGGCTATAGCGTGTGAAACGTGAGCGCCAAAATCCGGTATTTTTGATTGCGTGGAATGCATTTTCCAAGTGTTAGTACTGCAACTATGAAACARAGCCTTGCATTTTGTGTAGAGGCCGCTTTAGTGGACTAAAACACTACGGGTTTCAACAATCCAGACCTTGGACGTTCCACTTGGATACCCAACCATACAGGCAAGGTAAAGCTAATTCCGACGGAATGCCATTATCTGATCAACARAGATAAAAGGAAAAGATCTGAAACACGTCGGATTACTGATACGATTTTCAGCCTTGTTCGACTTTGGTCATTACACATGCTCTGGTTTTGAAGAACTGTCGACACCCATTACACTGACACCACTTTACCTGTTGGTATGGAACTTTTTTTACGTTATGTGTTGACATGTCCGAATTGGATACATTGTTTTCGGGGTTCAAATAATTCCTAGCAAGTTTCCCTATATATTTCCATTTTTTCGTGATACCTGTTTATCGTACTTGTTTTGCCTTTTCTTCCTGAGTTAATTTTCTCGTTGCTTAATTATCACCCACACGTCACTACTCTTTGCTTTAGAAGTTTCTTCCGTGACATTTCAAGTCTTTAAAAAAATATTAAGATATCGTTAAAACGTGCACGCTCGCAGCCATAGAATTATAAGGTAAAATGTTTACTATACTTCAGCAAAGGCAACACCACCACCAGATATTTTATACATTACTTCACTTATAACATTTAGTTGAAGAAGCTTGTTTGGGTAAAACAAGCAATCCCCCACTCTCCTTGCCGACCCCTCTCCTGCTCCCCTGGCATTCAGAATGATATTTGTCGTGATCAAAAAAAAACAAACTAATTGCTCATGGTATCACGTACCACCTGCTGTTTTGCTACTTCTTGCATGACATTTCTAAGATCTCAGATATGATTGACGTGTATTTAAAATATTTGTTCGATTAGTAGATATATACTTACCAGGGGGTTGGCCTTGGGGTCATATAGGCTCTGTAGTCATGCACAGTACAAGCAATCTGTATCACAAAACCCGCACAAAACAGTCGATTTGACTAAATCCCTTTCATACAGCATGAAAGCTTACTTCGAATACCTGGGAAGACATTGATGTTCATTATTTGTTTTTTACCAGTGCATGTTTATCAGTAGTTTTCGTGTTTTTGTCCATGTGAAGACAATACCTCCTTAGGCTGCGTTCATAATGTATGGCAGGGGGGGGGGGGGGGAGATTTAGCAATTTTTGTGGGGTCTTAAGAATTTTCTTTGTCGTTTAAAGATTTCACCTGCCTCCCCTCTGCCATACATTATGAGCACAGCCTTACTCTAGAACTAATATCTATTCTAAAGCTAATGTCTTGACTCTTGTTTAGTACTAGTGGTTTAACGAACCGTGTACTCGATGAACTAATTTTAGTATCATTTTTTGAACGACTCCTGTCACTCAGTAGTCTAAGGACTTTGTTAAGCCTTGGAATGTTCAACCTGTAGTCAAAACATCTTGATTTTAAAGAGACACTCGAACTTCTAACCGCTTCATGATGGCGGTCCTCGTGGAGCCGCACTAATGTACGTAAGGGCGTTCAGTCTAATATTCTTTTATTATGGAAGTCATATAAGCGAGGCTAATGAGTTTCATACCTACGTAATGTACGATAATAATAATTTATATGGCGCAAATTTGCAGGTGGTCGTAATCAAATGCTAAYTCCTGATATATATCTGCTAAAAGATTCCGTATATCGGCATTTTCATATCCACCGGTATGTTCCTTTTATCAGTAAAACTGATTATCAGTATTTTCTGATTTAATTTACAATGCTTAGAAGTGTTACAGAAAATGCATTGAACAAGTGGTCAAACTTTACTTTTAAAAACACTTCTTCATCAAAATTGTTTCGAATTACAATATAATTATTTTATATTCTGGGCTGCGTTTCCAGCGTCTGGACTAGGGAAGAGGAGCTGCCTAATTTTTCTTGCTTTTCGTTGCTTCTTGCATGTCCATTCTCTTTTCAAATCTTCTTCTATCTTTCTTTTGATTTTCTTTATAAAGAGAATTTATCGTCACAGTTCACTGTAGTGCTCAGTATTCGAAAATTGATGATATCTTGAAGATAGAAAGAAAAATATGTAAAATATAATAACAATAAAATCTCAATGCACTTACAAAAGTTAAAAAATAAATTGATAATTCAATAAAACATAATAATAGTCGTAATATCAAAGATAACTGACAGAGCTTCAATATGGGAACAAATATTTTGAAAAGGATATATGTACTGAGTGTAATGATTTAATTCTACAGCAAGTTATGTAATAAGCCTGAAGCGAGATGACGTTTTACCCCCGACTCTATACCATAATAGTTTTTAAAATTCTTTCATATTAAAATTTTTAATTCCTTAGAGAATACAGGAACAATAGTCATAATTAAAGAACAAAAGCAGTGTGAAATTAAAAGGATTATGGTCTAGAGACGGGGGTAAAACCTCATCTCGCTTCAGGCTTATTGGTGTCCCAAGACCTTAACGATGCGCACAAATTCAGACCCTCTTACCTCCAAAAAGGAAGCCAAAAAGGTAGTCGTCAATTATAGTATTTATCTATATCTACCCACCCACCATTCAAAACATTCTTCCATCCTTACACAATACCGGACTTACGCATATATCACGCTTGCAATATTTTAAAAGCGGATGTCAATTTACGTCAGTAGTATAGAGCGCATGCAGTAAAACCATGAAATAAAAACAAATGATGCTAACAAATATAGTAGCTACTTAGTGACTAATAGTTGCTAGCACTCAACATTTATTAAACAAAAGACAAATGGTCTCGGCTCTTGTGTATTTGTCTTTGTATGATAAGTGTTCGGGGAGGGGGGGGGCTGAAGCCCCCCTTCAGCAGAAAAAAACAAAACTGAAGAATTAGATGCTTTTTTTGATTGTTTTCCGTTGTGTTGACAGAACTAGAGAAACTCAATTAGCCCCCCTAAACTGAAGTAGCCCCCCCCCCCCTAAAATTTTGGTCAACATGGGTGGTTGCTGGAATGTACACTGATGTAAAGCTAGCGCTCGACTCCACTCCAACGAACACGCTCAACTTATTTTTAGTGCGCCTACGAACGGATGTCTCATTTTCCTTATCACGCGACAAACAGCACACGGTGATCAGGAAAAACATCGAAACCTACGCTATTGTCGATTGTTGGATGTGTTTATGAAAGTCCTTATCGAGGTTATATATATTTCCTCTTAGAGTTTTTCGCAAGTATTGTTAAGAGGCAATTAAGTTAAAAGTGATCAGTATTTTTCGATGGCCTCGCACACATTCTACGCAGGGTTCGTGCTACTCCTAAACTCCTTGAATTTAATTCATGTTTTCAAGGGCACTTTGAAAAGCTCTTGAATTTCATGATTTTAGAGAAACTCCTTGAATTTTTGCTTTGATCATTACTTGCATGGTTCTGAAATAGATCTAGTCAGAAAGATTGGAAGATATGAAAGTTGGCCATGTGCAACCACCGTGTAAAACCTTGGCATATTTAGCTGAACATACTCCTTGAAAATTCATTTTTGGGTCCTTGTATACTTACTCCTTGAATAGTCCTTGAATTTCAAGTGGTTACCTCAGCACGAACCTTGTGTACGATACAGGACAATTCTATTCCAGTATAGCTAGCTCTAATATAACACCGATAAATCTCTGGGGCCTCGGTTTCGATTCCTGGTTTGCACATCGCATGTGAGAGGAGTTTATTGGGTCTACCCTGATTCAAGGTTTTTTTCCCGATTTTCTACCTCTGAAAAAACTAACACGCTAAATTCCAATTCAATCGGTGAAGACAATGTGCAAGGGTATCGATAAATTTGAAGGGGGCAAGAATGGAGAATGTGGAATAAAGTGCGCTCTTTGCTCCAAATTTTGCGCGGTTTAGATCAAGAAAATATTCGATATYTTAGAGCATAGAATGTGGAAAACACAAGTAAAGGCAATACACGGTTTACTAACACCATCATTACTATAACTACTATAGAAGACAAATCCAGTCCACACGTACTTCTATTTTACAATTCCGCTCATTGTTAGAAAACGCAGCAATACCGTAGATAGCCATACAAACCCCATGCTATTTCAAAAGTCATTTCAATCAGCCTAATACAATACAAATATCTAAAATTCTTTCCCCCTTCTATTTAGGCATAATTGGAATAATTTTTGTGGCTTATTCCAGCACTCATTTACGTACAATCAATTAGAATGGCTGTCTATTTATTAAAGAAATTTTGTCCAAAAGAAGATCTCTTCTCTCTTGCCACGCCTCAAATTTGGCACAAGTCCAAATTCATTGGATATGGTTTTGGTTGGTGTCTCGAAATAGTTCAGAATTAGTCACCAAAAGGGTGAAATGTCTTGTAAATTTTCTCTCCACACGTTTCCACTGTACTCTATTTGTTCATTGGAGGTGATTCCAGGCTCGACTCTTGTTCCACTATAAAGATTGATATTTATATCTGTGGAATCTGTGCAAGTTGGATGGGCCTCTGGGCGATCAACCGCCTGTCTCACGCACTCTCGCATTCGCGCGCACGCTCACGCTCTCTCACAGTCGTTGTCGTCGTGTTACGTCTATACCTGAATTAGAACAGAATATTATCAAGAATTAGTATCTAGAAAAGGAATAAAATGGGCGCGCATTAAAACAGTTGCTAATAGGTGACTGGCTTTTGCATTCATTTTGTTGACTGGCAATCGACAAGGTGAGATATAAAGAGAATATTACACGGTGGCGCGAAGATACGTGTAATTTCCTTTTTATCATATAGATACATTCAAATATGAAACTTGTTGAAAAAATTGGAAAAACGTCATCGATATCTCCACTAGTGAGTATATGAAAAAATCTCACTGAGGATAAAAAATGCCCTACTACCCGCTAACACTAGATACTAACCATCTACAGTTGCTTAAGAGCGCGTAGTTTCCTAGACGCCCAGGTAGAAACTTGTTTAGTCTTGTGATTCTTGGATCGTCGGCCTTCTTGAAGTAAATCACTGATGCTTTGCTTATCGAACATTGGGTACACCTCACCACCAAATGCTTCGCAGATATCCCTAAGGGGTGGAAGTCGTRTGGTTAACATTCTGTGCTCAGTTGTATGAAGGGGGAAAGGTAAATAAACTTAAACGTTAAAAACAGCAATTTATCTACTGGTTAAAGATTTATCCATTGGATAGTATTATCTACCCTTAGTACAACCGCGCCCTGGTTGTTTAGGCATACAATAACAATGTGCTTTATTTGTACCACAGATTACAATAAGGAGAAAATATAAATACAAGCATATTTACAAAAGGATGGTAGGGGTACCTAGAATAACTATGAGAGCTAAACGAGCTAGGTAAAACATAACGACACTTGGGGGAAAAACAGTACGAGCCTTGCGTTTCATGACCGGCAGATAYTGTTGAGAAACTACGTGTTACTCATAATCAGACGATATTGATAACTAAGCTACTGTATGTTAGTATTCTTAGGAAGTCAATATACCCAATAAGTCCACTACTGCAGGTGACTGTCCCTTCAGAATGATCAGGATCTTCGGCGACTTGCTCCAGAAACCAAACGATGTGGGGAATATGAGGCTTCATAACCAGGACTTCAGCTGTTGATATCGAGAATACAAGGTATAAGAATGAATGTGGGATTATACCCTTCTCTTTCCGTTGTCTCTGGGCCATAAAACAATAAAGACCCTATTGGATACAACGTACAACTGTTGCGAGCAATGTTTAAAGTATAGCAGAGAGGTCACATGTACCAGCTTTTTCTTGCAACAAATGACCGCTACATGGCAAGTTAACAGAGAAACATCACGCCATTGGTACCAAGGGTTGAAACGTCTTTTTATGCCAATAGAATTTATTGCGCGCAGCGTTTCTGGCGATGTAATTTCATACAACAAAAGCAACTTAGTGCGCAACGATTTGTATTGTCGTTGTTGTATGAAATTCATTGTACTAGCCACTGGCCTCCAGTTTCAGTGTGGGTTGGGTTGTGAGCTAATCCCCTGCACCCGGAAAACACCACTGATTATGACAAGTCAAATTATTGTTGTCGACTCACCTGCAGGTGAAGACACAAAGGAATTAAATTGTTATGAATGTACAATACTTACGATCAACAGCCTTTTCATTGTCTCCTTTTAGACCTTGTATGATTCCAGTATAGGCTTCCAGACAAGCCTCGCGTAGTTCGTTTATGTAATCCAACATGTCATAATCAGGCTGTCAGATTAAATACCAAAGACTCAAGATAAGTTGCGGCAGGATAATGAATGGAATAAGACTACATGCACGGAAGATGGGATAAAAACGTTTGAAATTCTATCGAACCTGAAACAAACTTGGGTCAAGGCTAACCCTGAAACAATCTCTGGGCTGATCTAAGTCAGGGCACGGCTAACTCCCAGATTGAACCCTGAAACAACCTCTTGGCTGGCATAAGTCAGGGCACGGCTAACTCCCAGTTTGAACCCTGAAACAACCTCTGCGCTGATCTAAGTTGGGGCACAGCTAACTCAAAGATCAAACCCTAAAACAACCTCTGCGCTGATCTAAGTCATGGCACGGCTAACTCAAAGATCGAACCCTGAAACAACTTCTGGGCTGATCCATAAGTCAGGGTATGGCCATCTCACAGATCGAGTTTGCATTTAGCTTGTTTATAGGTTTTGCAGAGACCTAGCAAACTCTACTCACATGTGATTTCGGGTCCAGAAATCGAAAGCAAAACCCCAGAGGTGAGAGACGTGTACTGCCGCAAAAAAGCTTTTCCATTCAATAAACCAATGAATAACTAAAAGTCTCCACGATAAGAAACCATGTTACCCAAACTGAAGGGGTGGCTTTTATTCATAATCCAAGGGGATGCTAATACTTTACCTTTTCCACATTAAACTGTGAGGCCAGCGTTAGCGCACTGATTACAGCATCCAAGTATTTTTTAAAGTAATGACCAACAGCCAGGGCAATATCACCAAACACTGATAGGATATGTGGCTTGACTGATCTGTGCACATTCTCATCCTAAAATGAAAGAAATGCATTACCACTAAAGGGAAATGTGAGTAAGATTAGATAAACAGATTGTTGAGGGTTCAAAACAGTAACCGTCTTATTAGCTATTCTAAGATTGAAGAAAAAATGGGTTGGCATTGCAGTGCATTGTGGGATTGTTTTAGGGTAGATGCAAAAAATTATAAAACAGTTTTCCTGTATTCTGGTTGGTTGTATTTTCATTGGTGTAGGATAAATAGTTTTACACTTACTGCAAGATGAAGAAGTAGGATCTGCATAAAGGAGTCACAATACTGTGCAATATTGACTCCAAGTCCTCTAGCTATATCCCCCACCAGCCCTACAGCAGCAATGCACACCTGGAAGGTCAAGAAAAAGTATTAGGATTTGTGTGACTATTTGAACATTCTRACTGGAACCTTGGATGCTGTGACTGGTTAAACATATATGAAGATGATATGAAGATAGAAGAGATACAGTAATCTGCTCTAAAAGGTACAGTACAATAGAATGTTGCAGAGATTGACAGCAGGTGCACAGGCCTCCCCACTATATTCCTACCCAAGGGTCAAAACAATRAAAAATATTTACATCAAAACCTGAAGATTTCAATCCTCAATAGAAGGGAATTYTATCATTTTGACACCCAGGTTGGAATTAGTTCTAGGTGTCTTATAACATAAGGGTACACACAAGTGACCCAATAATCAATATGAGCATATTTCAATAACATTGTCATTGATAGGTCATTCTGACTTAAATAGTTTCGTTGAATACAAAGAACATTGAATCAGTCTCATCACTAAGATCCATGTTCTTGACGAGAATAAGAAGGAGAAACACAAGTCATTCTAGCTATTCTTGAATCTTGAAATGATCTATCTCCTATGGCTTTTCGCCTATTGCCTATCGCCTTTGGTGATGACAATGTTTATTGAAATACAGTTGTTATACATGCGTGTATAGCAGTAAATCGTAGATGTTGAAAAAGAAATACCTGATATTCTGCAACATTCTTTAAACTTAGTTCAAGATAAGGAAGAAAAGGATCCATGTACTTTATGAAATCAACACCAACAACTAAAATGAAAGAAAGATAGCAAACATTGTGTGACGATCCTAACAACATCTGTGTAGGAGGCTAGGATGGCCAATAAACAAAATGGTTTAAATTTCGAATAACCTTTGAATATTCTCATTTTTAAAGTTAATTCACAAGGTAGAAATAATAACCAATCAGAAATGATGATTCTAAGTACTTCCAGCTGATCTGAAATACTGACGTAGAAATGTCATGAAGCCCGTGAAAGTTGACTAACGAAAAATAAATAGCATGCCTGCCAAATATAAAACTCATAATAAATATTGTCACAGGTATCAAGTACTTATTAGCAATGTTATTTTTTCATTTGGTGTCCCAGAAATCCATAATTTTCTCTGTTCCGATTGGCTACTTTCTTTTCTCAGATCAGTTGGTTACGATAAAATTGAAAACAGATGGTAGAATACCTTCTACCAAGGTACCGACAGCCATGAGAGCATCCTCCTGTACACCACAGATGCTGCCCTTGGAAGATGCATCAAACATTTGTAACAAAGCATTCATGATTGGATCAGCTATCTGTTGGRCATCCTGTGGATTAATCTTTCTCAGCACACTCTAAAATGAAATAAGAAATAAAAAATTCTTACAACAAGAAATGTCCCCTATAGGTATGTTCCATTGGGCACTTCAAATTCTTGGATTTCTTTGGCACTTGGTTGTTGACTCAAAAAGGTTTAAAGTGCGGATATTCCCTGCAATAATGCATGAAAAAAGCCTGTTTTTAGGGTTTCACATGGTGTGATCACACCTTTATGCAATAACAGCCATACACACATCATTTACAATTCTATTATTATCATTAGTAATACCTTCCATTTATAATATCCATAATAACTATTTTTATTGATAATCATTAAATTATGTGAGAATAAACTTGAACCTCTATATATCTCTGTTTACGAGTGCATCATTACGAAATACTGTCAATCAATCAAATCTGCCGACCCATACTTTTCGTACAATGTACATGGCACTATTCATTTCAGAGATTTCAACGAACTTATTTAAATAGTATCTTTTGTTATTTTTTAAATCTTACCTGCAGTGTAGCACAAAGTAGTGACTGGAGATCATTGTACTGACTTCTCTCAGCAGACTGAACTTGTCTCTGTGGAAAGCAAAACCATGAGATAAACTTTACTGAAGCCATAAGTACTGGCCTAATAATATCAAAAGTCAACCTCCACTTCCATCCATTATTTCTCAAGTACTGTGCTATATGAAGAATAGAGAAAGAATGGCAGAACGGCAGCCAATCAGCGATGTTGAGTGATGGGAAGACAAAGACAACAAACCAGACAACATTAACAAGGTTTTCAACACATCATGCTTCAAACCGAAAAAAACCCTCATGTATAATTAACAAGTTTGTTTAAGTGGATAGACTGTATTTGCTTGATCTGTTGTATCATGTATGATTGCCTCAAAAAAATATTCAAAACTGCTTTACAAATGTTTTTTATAAGGCTAATTACTATAGTTCATTAAGTTTGTTTTATGTTATTGCTTTGCAATTTTTCAAACAGACAGCAAACACAGTAACGAAAGTGACATGATTGGTAACAAAAGTAATACGCAAATAAGCACATTGTAGCGAAAGTACAGGATACCGAGATGTGTAGGTACCTCAAGGTGCAGAACTTGCTGTAGCCTTTGCATGATGGTCAGTGTAGTCTTCTGTACAACTCCATAGCAATCCTGTCAAAGATTACCAATCAAAGGTAGATGTGTAAAAATAATGGTTATTCAAAACAGCACTGGAGTATTTAGGTACAAAATGAAAATCAAAGGGCAATCATTACTGGTAATCATCAACACAAAAAGACAGTTGACAGAGACAGAATTCTAAACATTTCAGGAAATTTTGAAAAACAGAATATTTCAATTTTTATCTTTGAAATGGCATGATTCCATTTAAAATTGATYGTATACTTTTAGCGGAATTTTGGTTAGTGATATCAATATAAATAAGGTCATTTTACAGGACCTGCACACATACCTTTGCACTGTTCTTGATCATTTCCATGACAGCCTCGTATGCTGCACTTCTTAGATTAGACTGATTTGCATCTGGCCTGTTTGATAAAAACACGAAACAGATTTAAGAAAATAATTCATTTTTATTTTTAAATCGCTAGTCAATTTTTCTTTGAAGTTCTGAAGTTTGTACTGAGGTTGTGAACTTGAGAACAAACTTCGGAAATGGAGTGGTCAAAGTTTCGTGATATCAACTATACAGCAACTATGTTTCAATTAAATAAGGTGTATACAAAAACAATGGTACATGATAAAACAAAATGTGAGACTATTGTACATTGAATTCCCATTCTCATAAAAAAACTGAAAATCGTCCAGCCTTCGAAAAATCAAACRCCAGTGAAATTATTACTTAGGTGTTTAAGAAGACTTTTGTTCTAACCTTACAGTCACTTCCAATAGTTGTTCTACAATTGTTGGGAAGAACTGTGATAAGCAGTATGTTTGTGGTTCTTCATCAGTTTGTGTATCACTGGCTGCTTCATATGCCGCTTCACTCAGGGAATTGAAGGCCTACATCAGGAGAAAATATCAATCATTAGAATGTTATTAGTATAAGTAATACAGGATTAATCAGTTAATTTGAACTAATTAGGAAACATTTTGGTAGGAAAAAGGGGGGAGATGGGCAAATTTCTATCAGAAAAACGGGGGGAAGCACAATAATGTTATTTTAGGAAGAAGCAACAAGCCTTGCTTAGGGGGGATTGTATTTTTTTGCATGACTTTAAGGGGGGTGTTAAGAATTATTCTGGACATTTCAAATTTTCACCTGCCATCCTCCCCCCNCCCCCCCCCGCCATACATTATGAATGAAGCCTTACTTACCCAGCACACATTAGCAGCAACTCTGGGCTCAGCAGATAGACTCTGGGTTAGTGTAGTAACGACCATGACCAAGAATTTCTCACTAATCACTAAATGGGGCATAAGTTCACAAACACGGCCAATAACCCATGCTGCTGAGTCCCTAACTACTACACTATCATCAGCCAAACGTTGAGCAATAACTGGCAATGCCTTGAAAACAAATGTAAAAAAAAATTTTTTTGAGTAATACAAAAAGAAATAGAAGTGCCATTGTGATGAGAAAACTTCATGTAATGTCAAATGTAAGTAAGAGTGCTGATATTCCAAACACCAAGAGCCGAGATAAAAATACGAGACCTATTCTGATATATGTTAAGCAACATCTGTTTTCAAGGTTAGAAGTGTGTAGGGGGTTCAATAAAATAACATTTTGGTGATCTACATTACTGTAAAATTCTGTTCAGTGAACAGAAAAAATTCCCATACTTACATCAGCTACATATGGTTCTAGTGTTTTAATATCTGGACCTTCTAGAATAGTACCTGAATATTTCAAAAAAATGTATCTTGTCAAGTGTTTGAAGATGCACGTATGTATATAACCATAATAAGATCAAACTAGAATAATGGACTAGAAAGACAACCTCAGCTTATTAGCATCTTTCACTCCTTCCTACCCTTTTTAATTGCTACAGCAATTCTTCTAAAGTTATACAAACTCTGTCTCCTCTATGGCAAGCCAATGGTAGCAATATTTAATGCACAAATAAAATATTTAATCCACGAAGAAAATATTTAAATCATGGCTTTAAATATTTAAAAGTGTAAAAAATATACTTAATTTAAACTTTAATTTTTTTATTTATTCCTTTTTTAATTTTCTGAAGTTTAAAATTTTTATTTAATTCTACAGATTTTTATTTAAACTTCATAAATATCTTTAAAATCAAAATTATTTATTTAATCTTTACATTTTCATTTAATATTCCTGGGACGGGCTCGGCCAAATCTGTCTGGGAACGAGAATCGAATGCTAAAAACAAAAATGGCTACGGTACCTGACCGATACTATTTTTAATGACCGATACTATTTTTAATATATATCAACGATCTTCCAGCTAAACTACAGTCCAAAGTTCGACTATTTGCGGATGATACTACTGTGTATATGACTGTGGCTATTGAAACTGATGCTGCCACCTTACAGAAAGATCTTAAACTTCTTGAAGAATGGGAAAATAAGYCGCAGATGTCTTTCCACCCTGACAACATAATGTGCTTTGAGTCACATGGCGTAGGTCTGCATCTTTTTCCTTAAGGGTCTGGTTGTGTAGGACGTAATCATAGATTACAGGCTTGAAGCTTAAGGAAAAAGATGCAGTTAAGCACCTTGGTGTCACTGTACATCATAAGCTCTCTTGGAATGAACATATATGCTCTGTATTCAAGAAAGCAAATTCATCCATAGGCTTTCTGAGACGGAACTTGCAAATTCACCAAAAACACATCAAGCTAACGCATACAAAACCCTTGTTCATCCTCAAATTGAGTATGCGTCTACTGTGTGGGACCCTTTTACCCAAGTGAACCAAAATAAGATCGAAATGGTTCAGAGAAGAGCAGCCAGATTTGCTTGTAACAACTACAGCCGCGAATCAATTGTACCGCAATGTTGGAAGAGCTTGGTTGGCGCAGTCTTAAGCAGCGCAGAGCTGACCAGTGATTAGTTATGCTGTACAAATTTATAAACAACTTAGTTGATGTAGATCTCTGTAATGAACTGATACCCTTGACAAGAAACTCAAGAAATAATCACAACAGATCCTTTAAGATTCCTCTCGAGAAAAAAACATATATACAATACAGCTTTCTACCATGGACAATAAATCAATGGAACAATCTACCCGCTGAATTAGTCACAGCCCCAAATGTTAATGCATTTAAAAGTGGGGTCTGTAAATTAGAACACTAACTTTGATCCTGACCTACCYGAGCACTTAAGCCTCGAAGAGAGGGCRTGCTTGTAATTTGGTAAATGTAAATGTACCAATGGCGTAAACAGAAGCGAAGAGAGGAAAAGAGTTTTTCTCCGACCTTTTCCCTCTCTTCACTTCTGTTTACGCTGTCACCCATGGTAGCCATTTTTGTTTTTAGCATTCGATTCTCGTTCCCAGACAGATTTGGCCGAGCCCATCCCAGGAATATTAAATGAAAATGTAAAGTTTAAATAAATAATTTTGATTTTAAAGATATTTATGAAGTTTAAATAAAAATCTGTAGAATTAAATAAAAATTTTAAACTTCAGAAAATTAAAAAAGGAATAAATAAAAAATGTTTTTTACACTTTTAAATATTTAAGCCATGATTTAAATATTTTATTCGTGGATTAAATATTTTATTTGTGCATTAAATATTGCTACCATTGGCTTGCCATACTCCTCTACCAAAATACCTGTTCCCTCTTACTAGAGCAATGTAATGGAAGGATAATGGCAAAATGACACATTTCTATCTGATCAAATACAGGTGCCTATAAATATGCCTGCCAAAATGAAATATATATCTAACACACCTAGTCTGGGTGCTCTTAAATTACATCAAAATAAAAGTCAGGATAGCCTACCCAAACATATTAAGCTTTTAAAATAATTAAACAAGCAAAATGCAATAAAGAGTTTGAAACTCGCTTAAAAAAGGAAAAGAAAAAACTCTTAAATAGTAGGGGGGTCTAGTCTCCCCTACCACCTGCCTCTGCACCTCCTCTGCACTAAAGGCCATAATTATTCATCTCCGTCTTACAAACTAACTCTACTTTCCCTTCCCCTCTTACCAAAGGCCATGATAGCTGCATCCCTTTCTTTCCAGTTGGTGCTTTGGAAGTTATTATGTACAAACTCCAGCATTGGTTGTACTACCATATTCTCACAGCACTGAGCTAACAACATTAAACATACGCCAGCAGCTTTTGAAGGAATCCAGTCATCTTCATCATCAAATTCTTCCTATTTATGTTAAAGAGGCTTTATTAACATATAAGGCAACCCTAACCCTATCCTACTAGCCATTCATTCTTTCTTTCATTTATTCTTTTTCTATTTTCTTCAGTTTATCTTTTGTACTTTCTTTYTTTCCTTTCTTCTTTCTGTCTTTGGTTCATTCATTCTTTAATCATTAAATTAATGGTCGTATAAATCATTATATTATTTTTATTTATTTATTTAATTATCTATTTATTAATAATTGTTAAATTGCACTAAATTAAAATATAAATCCAACACTCAAAACTGCAATCAAGAATGCCTGATCCTTTTCCTGATTGTGTAGTTCCAGAAATTATTCATACCGCCCACCCCCCAAAGAGGAATTTGGAATTTCCGAGGGGTTGGAGGGGATCAAAGAAAGAACAAAATTACAGAGTTTGTAGGGAAGAAAATCCGAATTTCCGGGGGTTGGAGGGGGGGTTTGAAAAAAATCCTGTGGGGGGAGGGGTATGTATAATTTCTGGAACTACACATTTTCAACATTAGAGAACTGTGAACTTGAGTGAACTTGAGAACCAGGAAGGCTACAACCCCCAATATCAACCTACTAGCCTATTGTTGACTGCGTTCATAAATCAATTTGTTAGTCATTAGTTCTTTAAACTCACCTGCTTTGTCAAACAGTTGGTCAGTGGTTTGATGAGGTGCATCAAGGCTCCCTTTGCATAGAACCTACTTGCCTGTTCTGGGGTTCTATGCTGTTCTTCAGCCTAGAAAATCAAATCCAATAATATATTATAAAACTGTTAAGTATCCTCTAAATCAAAAGTATGTGTGTGCATGTGTGTGGGGGGGAGGGGGAGGGGGAGGGTGTTTAGATTTGAATATACAGACTTGTGTTATGCACAGTTAAGACTAGACGTTGGTGACTCTTGTCATAGTAACAAGAGGGTTTTCCTTAAGGGTCAGAGATTGGAGAATGCTCCAGTAATTGAGCAAAGTACTTCGGCTTCAACTACCATGATATTCCCCTATTATTTCAAAACTTAACGAAAACCCTACCAGGACTCTCTGGTTGGTTCAAAATCTTTGATTATTTCAAAACTTAGTGAAAATCCTGTAACAAATAATTTTCTTTACTATTATTTTGAAATCATAAAAGATTGATACAAATATAATTTACTGGTTTAAGCACCATCCCCATTGAAGTGCTGCATATAAAAGTAAAAATATTGAGGAGTGCCAGCCTCAACTAAATTGCGCAGCACTCATTCTAGACAATGCAGCCAATCACATTTAAAACATGTTTATTTTGTTGTTAACATTTGCTTGTTAACAATTACAAAATAATGTTATGATTTTTAAAGAGTGCTGTCCTCAAATAAGCGCCACCCCAGCATAAGCGCTGCAATCAAAACAATAACACTGCAGCAGTTTATCAAATAGCTACTGTAATGTGAAAATATCGAACACATACCTCAGCCAATTCAATAGCTAAATCCATTTCTTCATCACAGACTGTAGACCAAAATTCAATTCCTTGTAGACTGATTTCATCAACATCAGATTTTATAGCCTCTATCGTGATCTAATGAAAGAAAATCAGGAATTACTTACTATACTGGATAATGCACTCAAAACTTCACAATCCGTTATCAAAAGAATTTGTCAAACTAATGAAATAATCATTATCAAACCAGCAAACACAAAAGCTTTAAAAAATATTTATATAGCGGTCTAGAATTATTATTGTTTTGACAATCACAAGATACAACCAAACAACGGCCAGTCCCTTTGACCAATCACATCAATTGGTCACCAGAGCTAAAAATACAATATCATCTAAGAATTTCCGGCTAGAATTGGAACTTTGTCCGAATAGGAATAATCGCCTTGCTGGTCATTTTTGACCAGTAACGTTAAGCCAGGAACAAGGTATGACTGAGTTACATCAATTTGGCTGGTTATCATGATTAGCCTTGATCATGGATATTTCTGATTATATAATATTAATAATACTTACAGCAAAAAGAGCAACTCTCATGTATTCTTCCATATGTTGATAGTAAAGTGACATGATCTTTACAAGGCACTGTAGTGCTGCAACTTTGATCTGAATAAAATGATACATAAAAAAGAATTACAAATGCTGTTAACATCATGAAGAGTAAATTATGATACAGTATAAACAAATTAGATTTGTTACACATTTAGSGTCGATATCAGTGAAATAAAGCCGTGAATAAAAACCATGTCAGTGAAGTGATATGATATCACTTCATGGTAAAACTGTCCAATAAGATCTCTAGACATATTTTAGTTTTGACCAATCAGAGACAACCCTAAATGTATAATAAACAAATAATCACATGTTAAGAGCCTGATATTGTTTTTATTCACTCATTTTTTGTATCATAATGCTCACTCACTCCAGGACTTGCTTGTTTGCAGCATAATACAAAAAAACTCATGAATAAAAACGATATCAAGCTCTTAACATGTGATAATCTCTATCACATATTAAGAGCCTGATATTATTATTATTCACAAGTTTCCATTGCTCCAGTGAGCGATATGATATGGAAAACAAGGGTCACATTAATTTTAGGGGCAATACATAACATTACAATGTGTAATAAAATAAGAAATGCTTACTGTTGTTTCAGTGCTTTGGGTTGCATCACAGACTACTTCCATTATATAATTCCTTTCAGTCTAAAATAACAAATTTTATTTGACATTAAATAAGAAAACTGTAATCATGTACTTTATGAAAAACAGACTTGTGTCTATCAACAATCAGCTGACTGTTGGCCAATGAATGATAATAATCAATGATTTATGATTTATATAGCACCCTTTCTATATGGATATAATCAAAGGTGCTTTAAATTGAGTTGTGAATGACAGATTGCTATTATACAATTCACAAGCACTTAGAGTTTTCAATGCCAGGGTTTCTTTACATCCTCAGTGGTTCTTTTACATCCCTCCGATATTGGTTAGTAATGATGAGTGCGGACCTGTCATTTAAAGTGGTCATCTGAGCCACTTGAAAGTCTAACCATTTGCAGATGTAATTACAAAGGCAGCACTTTCTCCTCAGTTATTTTAAGACCCTGAGTGTTGGTCCGTATGAATCATGCAAACGCAGCCTATTGTTGACCAATATAAAATGACTGCCTCACAGAAAGAAAAAACTAAAGAAAACCTTACCAGTTGCTCAAAATTCTGCTTAGTAAATTCCAAAGAATTCAAAAGGGCTCTTGTTGCAGCTAATCGAATGTGAATACTGACGAAGGGAGCAGAGAAATATTAGAAAATTGATTTAAAAATAAATAATTTAATTCTTAATTCTTACTGGCTGGAGTCATGTCTGCTTTATGAGAGCAGAAAGCATGCATGCATGCTTTCTATTTTATCATTGTTATGCAAATAATAACTATTCCAATATGTACTGCATTTAAGAAATAAATAGATAAATAAACTTGCTAAAGCAGCATGGGATGGGCAGAACACTTGAGAAATGTCGAGGGACTTCACTATACATCATGGTTCTCCTTTGCATCTTCTCTTATTCTGCCAATCCCACCTTGTTTTATGAGGGCACGTGATACATTCATGCATTTTCTATTTGTCTTCTATAACCAATAATATACACTCGATTGCAGAAGCGTTGTAGCATACATTCATACAAATATCTAATTAGATGCATAATGCAAAATAACCATTTTCCAACTGATTTATAATCAGTACAATCTAATAGACAAGAAATAAAACTTTTGACCGTCATTGAATGAAACAAAAAATGAATAAAGTGATTTTTCCGTTTTGCATATCATTAAATATACTGAATGAATTAGATATTTGTATAAATGCATACTACAACATTTCTGCAATCGAGTGTAATTTACATTATAATATGATACATATATTATATATCGTTTTACCCTTCTTAAGGTAATTCTTTGAAAAATCTTTCAGAAAGCTGAATTATTTCCATAAATCAAAGTGATTAACATGTGATAAACATTATGCCATATATGTTTGTATGATAATTCATTATGAAATAATTGGGGTACTACGCACGCTATGATTGGTCGAAAACCATGTTTGATGAGAGTATCAAAACACGCTACTGTCATTTTTAATCTATTGCGTGCGCTCATTGGTCAGTTTGAATAAGACCGCACGTTTGTTATTTTATAAAACAAATCAAAAACAGTTTTCTATTTGATACTCTGATCAAAACACTTGAGATGTTGGGAGAACACTCGAGAAGCTGGAAACCACTCCGCTACGCGTCGTGGTTTCCTACGCTCCTCTCGTGTTCTCTCAATATCCCACGTGTTTTGATCAGAGTATACCGTTTTTGATCTGTTAAACAACATCGGAACTTTTTGGTAACAGTAATATCAAATACATCACATGCAATCTAGAGGTAAGTCAGTGGACTTTTTAAAATTAGCTAAATCAATATCAATAATAATAAGATACCGATAAACCGATTTGTGTAATGCAAATCACCTTGGTTCATCTTTCTGCATGCCTTGAATGATGGCTGTCAGTATAATATTTGCCTGGGTGACAAGATGTTCAGGTTCCTAGAAAGCAGAAATCATCAGTCCAATATCCAATCATGATTTGTGGTTAAAATTGAGCATGGATAGTTATCAGTGAAAAGTAGAAATGCTAGAAAATTTATAATTGCTACCTATTTCTGGTTTATTTTTATGTGGATTCATAGCCAGCATTCAAAAAGTTAAGTACTTCAAATCAAAGCACCTTTTCCAGTCCTTAAAAATAAGTTATCAAACCCTGAAACAGCCTCTGGGCTGATCTAAGTCAGGGCATGGCCAACTCCCAGATCAAACCCTGAAACAACCTCTGGGCTGGTCAAAGTCAGGGCATGGCTAATTCACAGATCAAACCCATAAAACAACCTCTAGGCTGATCTAAGTCAGGGCATGGCCAACTCCCAGATCAAACCCTGAAACAACCTCTGGGCTGGTCAAAGTCAGGGCATGGCTAATTCACAGATCAAACCCTGAAACAACCACTGGGCTGATCAAAGTCAGGACATGGCTAATACACCTTTCCATTTGGATATCCATGAAACAATGGTTTCAAGTTGAGTATGGACTTGATGAATAAAAGTATCAAGTTTAGTCTGGATATCAAACCATTGTTTCATAGCCATCCAATTCAGAAAGGTCTATTTACAGATCAAACCATGAAATATCCTCTGGRCTGATCTAAGTCAGGACTTGGCTAATTTGCAGAACAATTTGGAATTTAGCATGTTAGGTTTTGCTGAGGAATGAAAACCTGGAGAACTCAAAGAAAACCCTTGCACCTATAGAGAGAGGTCCAGCAAAGTTGAATACCTAAAGGTGAGGAGAGGGAGGAGAGGGAGGAGACATCAATGTTTCACAACAGCTGGTATGTGAACTTACAATATCCTGGCAAATGTAGCCAATTGCTTCTAATGTTTGCTCTCGTAGGGCTTCCATGTCTTTAGAAGAATTTGTAACATTGTGCACAAGTTTTTCCATCAAATCTAAATTCTGTCCATTGGGGATTTCTGCACAGGCAATAGCTGCAATACACTGGATTAAAAAAGCTGGATTAATTAACTTAATAGTGTAAAATAAAAATATAAATTTACGGTGTAGGGTTCGACAAACAAAATGACAATATCAGCGAAAATAAATAAATACATATTGAAAAACTTTCGGATTTAAGATCGCTTTTCTCGAGGAAAACTTGAAAATGTTTATAAGAATATAGTCATAAAATGTCGTATGTGGATTAAAGATTTTTGATGATGATTAACATGCTGTTGTTCAAGCGAATTCATAGACGGAAATACGATGGAATCTTACTTGTGGAGCAATGGCTGGTCTAGCTGTTTCTGTTCCAAGAGTAGCCACAGCCTAAAAATAAAAATATACCAGTTTTATAGTAAGCTTACTTGAAAATCAACACCATTTCTTATAGGCCAGAATCCATATTACTTTGATGTACAAAATGTACTGATCTGTACTATAACTACAGGTATAAAATACAATTGAGCTTTGTTATAATATGTTGTACCTGTCGAAAGAGCATTGTTTCTTATTGCATGAGTTCTTACCCGAGTTCTAATATGATCTCTGACATTTGCATCCAGCGAAAGCCACCGTTGTTGAACCTGTGCTCTGATGTTAAGATCTTTCGAGGTGAGCTGGTTCTTTAGCTGTAAACCAGCCGCCATACGAGCAACTTGCGACTTCCYGCCATCCGACAATTCATTGACCAAAGCAACTAGAAACTGAGGCTGTCATAAATCAATAGAGAAACCTTCGTAAGTACGCCATGTTGAGTATGAAAAACGAAAGGACACCGGAAACTCCATTATCAACATTCCTCAACAAACACATAGTCTATACGTTTCATGACGACTAAGCCCAACATTTAGGATTATACATACCAGATTATTAAGAGCAGCTTGTTCCAGGTACTTCTGTGCATTCTGAAGTTCGTTTAGATCTAATTTTTAAAACGATATAAATAAAATTTGAGGTTCTGGTGTAAATTTGCCGGTACTGGAGATATAAACGGGACGTAACGTTAATCGGCCATGTGCTTTCCCGCTCAAAACTCTGCTGACTTTACTGCTTTCCGCCAAACGGCTCATTATCACTAGAATACGTTACCTGATGAAACAGTTGCTTCGAGAACGTGGGTAAGATCCATCCTTAATGGCTGAAAAGCTTGGTAAAAAAGCTTCAAAGTCAGCCTTGAGTAATGGACAGTAATCTCGCACTGGAGGAAATTTTGAAATAGAAGAGACCCGAAGAGTTTTCGCCCCGTCGTGATGAGGGTTCATCAAAAACTAACCAATCACAACGCTCCTTTTCAAACTACGATAAGTTGTCGGTAAAAAGTCGGAGGCTTCTCGAGTTTACGAATATGACCCGACAGAGCTATTAAATCGTTGTTTACTGTCATTTAGCGGGTTTTTTGTCCAAAATATATTCAAGTCAATGTTTGTTTTTCTGTTTTTTGGTTAAGAATTTTTTGAAGAGTTATCAGAGTGTTAAAAATACTTCGTGGAAAATGGGGAAGACTATCAGGGAACTGGGACGAGGAACAACGTGTCGTCAACGTGAAAGTCGAGTCTTACTACATACGTCGTTAGGCGCCGTACTAACAGCGCCGTACGTAATGCATAGAATGTGTCCATGATCATCTAGTATTCTCAACTACATTGATTGTATCAAAAGAATTATATCTTGTCAAGTAGATATGGATGAAACAAAAGAAAAGCAAGAAAACAAGAACGAGTCATTCCTGTTCGATTCAAGCTTATTCCAAGACGTTCAACTGACCAAGGTTTTTGCTCCCGGCATTCTTGCTGCATTATTCTATGGAATCGTGTCAGGATCAATGTCATTTATAAATAAGGTAAATTTTCGAAAGTTCTTCTAACGAGTATAGGCCTTGGGCTTTGCTTGACTTTCTTTTAGTGTTTTTCGGCTTCATTCTTAAATATAAAAAAGTAAGCTTAAACAAATTTGCATGCTAATTAAAATAAGGAATTAATTAATGCTACAATTCGTGAGTTTATTTAAATAATAATTATTATTATTACTAGTCGTTGCAAATTGAAAGTAAAATGCTGCGAGTAGTTAATACGGGATAACGGTGATCTGATTATCAATGGGCGATTGGTTTGATATAGTAGTTGCCTCAACTAAATGGGCGATTGGCTTGGTTTGTTTGCATCGATGCATGCAATGTTGCACCGTGTGTCAACACCTTAAAGGCTCGTCCAATTTTGAAAACTTTCGAAACATCAATCGTACCTATTAACTTTGAATTGTACTCGAGATTGTGCGATTTCCTATACTACTAATAATAATAACCCTTTATTGGGTCACAAAAAAATTGGAACTTTTTTCCAATCTTGCCCATAATTATTTGCTCATTTCATTTTTATATGTAAGCTTTAATAGGTCTTTATATTATGCTGCACATGTAACTTAATTAAGAAATAATTAGATGAGGAAACTTCCTATGACTGCCAAAATTAGATGAGGCCCCTGCCGAGTCCTATTTAATCAATTTTGCATTCAGAGGAATTTTTTGGAGTCTAATTATTTCTTATCAAATCATTAATAATTCATGAGGAAAACAACACAACAGAAATCACAACCGTGAAGAGTGTTGTAAATCTGATACAAAACTGTGTTCATTTGCATAAACTTTAAGTTGGATTTTCTTGGCCAAGTTCACTTAAATTTTGAAAATTTTAGTGAAACACAAAGGAACTAACCTAGACGTTTGATAAGTCATATACAGTATTCCTGTCCGTGTTGTATCAGATATACAATCACTCGGCTACGCCAACACAGCCACTCATACTGTATATATTACTTAAAGACCCATTGCCACTTACCGTGATGCTCCGYGGTCACAGATGAATTTCGTGGTCCATGAAATTCAAAGATTCATATATTGAATAATAACTTCATATTAAATCCTTTTCCAACATAGCACTAAGGCACAAATATGATTCTTTTACATTCTTTTAAGAGTTTATTCAAAAGGTTGGGATTGTTTTTTCAGTGGTGACATGATTCAAAATTTAAACAAATTGTGATGCATCACGGTAAGTGGCAATGGGTCTTTAATTGGACGGCAGGCATGGAGTTCTATGTAACATATACAGTATGAGGCGTAGCCAAGTGATTGTATATCTGATACAACACGGACAYGAGGCATAGCCGAGTGATTGTATATCTGATGYAACACGGACATGAATACTGTATATGACTTATCAAACGTCTAGGTTAGTTCCTTTGTGTTTCACTAAAATTTTCAAAATTTAAGTGAATTTGGCCAAGAAAATCCAACTTAAAGCTTATGCAAATGAACACAGTTTTGTATCAGATTTACGACACTCTTCATGGTTGTGATTTCTGTTGCGTTTTCCTCATGAATTATTCATGAGTTTGATAATACCTGTTACAGTAATTTTATTTCTAGCACTAAATATGGGATTAATAAGTAACTAATTACAACTATGAACCTTTGTGGTTGTTTTAACATTTCATTTCAGATTCTACTGACATCCTATGGGTTTCATTTTCCAAATGTATTAATGTTAATTCAAGTTACGGTCACATCAGTGATCTTAGAAGTACTGAGAATGGTTAACGTTTTGAATATACCAAAATACACAATGGAAAGGTATTTTTATAGAAATTATTATTCACTGATTAAAGAAAACTTCATTGGGTAAATCAGATAAAACTGAGACTTTTTTCCCAATATGGCCCGGACATAAATATACAGCTGATTACATATATATATGGCCGTTTCAAATATAAATACAAGTATATCAAAAATATATCAGACAGGGCAGGATATCTTTCTTGATATTTTTTTCAGAAAGCCCTGATGATAGACAACTCAAAAAAAATATGATGGAGGCTATCCCATAATTTTTGATATGCTTTAGATATATTCGTATATATATTGGAAGCGGCCATAATTTTTGCAAATGGCTGCATATATATATACACAGCGATATGCAGAAATTCTGATCCAACCAAGTATAAAGTATATATTTATATCGGGTGCATTATGAGTAATAGACTCGCGGGTTCAAAGTGGGATTAAAAGTACTAAAGCGTTGGCTGGCGTTTTGTTTAAGATAAGTTACCTTTCAAAACAAAATCCGCTTTTTCCAACCAGAAAAAGAATTCACCCTGCCTAGGACTCAACAGTCGGCGTTATTTTTTCAATATAAACCACTGTTTATTCTATGCWATTTTGATTAATACAAACGGTTTTAGTGCAATGATGATTAATATTCAAACTTTTGCTCTCGTTAGTGAACTTGTTTTGCATAAAATTGCAAAGCTTTTATTAGCTTGAGCCAAAAGAGAGAGAGAGAGAGAGAAATAAAAGAAAAAGTAACCACAAAGAATCACTTAAGTTATCAGAGGAGAAGTGTAAGATTAACCTCCATTTATCTAGAAATTATATTCAGCCTGTTCATCAACTGAGATTTGACTAAGTTGACGCTCAATAACAATAACATGGTAGACTAGGAATAAAGCAAAATATCCTATCCAGAGTAGCTCATGGACAATTTTTGTACCACTTTTGTCATAAGTCATATTACTGACTGTTTTGGTTTTGCTGGCCTCGGAGTGGTTGATTGTTTTAGAAGGGCACATATAAATAAGTGAAGAACGAGTTCAGAATTGAGCTCAGCTCAACCGAAACTTCCAAGAAGAGAGATTTCAGAACTGATTTTAAACTCAACCAATTGCAAAACTTCCAACATTTCACTTTACATCAATAAAACCGTTTACAATAAGACATTTTTTTCTAATAGTGTAGAGGTATCAAAGAGTGAACACATTCCCGCCTCTTGACTTTAGCGCTGTTCATAAACAACACTCGGTAGGCCAGCCAACGCATTGGTACTTAGCTTTGAATCCCGCAGGTCCATTACCCATAATGCACCTGATATAGTTATATACTATATGCTTGGTTGGATCAGAATTTCTGCATATCGCTGTGTGTATATATACATATATATATATATATATATATGACAATAAAATGATCAAGCAAATATACCATATTTCCTCTATTTAGTCCTCAGCCTCTAATGATTAAGCCTCCTCCAGTCTGAGGCCAAAAATTAAAGTGCGTTTCTGGTTTGGTATAACGTACAACATGCAACAAAACCTTCAACCTTTTTGAAAAAGCTGTATATACTTATATAGTTGAACATTATGTATTTGAGTGACATACCTAGGAATATTTCACAAGGCATATGTATTTTGTAAATTCCTGTGATGCACAAGAAACCTCCAGAAAAATGAATACAACTGACAAGTTGGATATTCCATGGTGTTCCATGAGAAAGCATTATATTAATATTTTGTTGCAAACCATTGAAAATACCTTTATAGGGTTCTGCATGATGGGGAAAAAACACTGAAATACTTTTGAATATATGGTTTTCCTGCATTTCGTATTGGCTGTACATTTTCAATAGAGTCAGTATATGGTAGAAATGTTTTGTAATTTTACACCAAATCATATATAAAATTATTTGAAAACATAACTTGCATGCTTTTGGTTCTAGGGCTATGAAATTTGCAATTCCATCTGTGTGCTTTGCTCTCCAGACAGCATTAGCCTTAAAGGCTTTAACCATTTTATCAATTCCAATGTAAGTATTCTGCAACATCTAGTTGTAGTAGTTTGAAAATATGTGCAGTTCAGACACATATATGGTGACCTTTAGATCCAACAACAAGCATGTGATCAATGAGCAGTACGAGTTTTATAACTGTGCACGTGGTTAACACTAAATCGTAGTTGATTATCATCTAAAGTTTCAATCTACATACACAATCATGACTACAAAAAGATAGTGCCTCTCTTTAAAAGTTAAAACTTTTACTTGTACTCATTCTCGTACTCGTTGTCAGATGCTTTGTTTTCATCCTCTAGAGTTTTCAGTTAACAGAGTGGCACTTTCATGTTTTTCAATATTTGTGTGTATTGTATTTCTAGGTATAATATCTTGAGAAGATTACTGCCAATTGTTACATTAGTGTTTACTCGACTTATACTTAAGAAAACCCCTTCCATAGTGATTGTACTTGCTATCATAATGGTAGTTTCAGGATGTGTTATAGCAGGTAAATAATAAGTTATTTCCTTCATAACCTGGTTAAGTTAGACACAACTTGCCTCACCTCTTGCCTTCTCTCTCGCTGCTCTATCACCAATAGCATATATCACTCTACCACCTCCAGCACCAGCATACCACTCTACATCCAGCACCAGCATGCCACTCTACCACCATCAACAACTTCCCTTCCACCACCACTCTATCTCCACCACCACCAGCAAACCACCCTATCTCCACCACCACCATAAGCATACCACTCTACCACCACCAACAACTTCCCTTCCAGCACCACCACCAACTTCCCTTCCACCACCACCACCACCATCACCAGCATACCACTCTACAAGCACCAACAACTTCCCTTCCACCACCACCACCACCACTCTATCTCCACCACCACCAGCATACCACTCTATCTCCACCACCACCATAAGAATACCACTACCACTACCACCACCACCAACTTCCCTTCCAGCACCACCACCAACTTCCCTTCCACCACCACAACCACCACCACTCTATCTATACCACCACCAGCATACCACTCTATCTCCACTACCACCACCACCACCACCACCAGCATACCACTCTACCACCACYACCAGCACCACCACCATCAGCATACCACTCTACCACCACCACCACCACCAGTATCACCAGCATACCACTCTACCACCAGCAGCACCACCACCACCACCACCACCAGCATACCACTCTACCACCACCACCAGCTTACCACTCTACCACCATCAGTACCAGCATACCACTCTTCCACTCTACCACAAGCATCAACACTGCCCAACATTCAAGAAAACCCGAACAAAAAAGGATAATCATACAAATAAACATTTTTTGGTTTTTTGTTACTCTTCCAGGAGTAGGAGACTTAAAATTCTCTACAGATGCATATATTTGTGCCTTAGCAAGTGTTTTTTGCCAAGCATTTTACTTGACATTTATACAAAAAACCAATGTTGAAGAAGGATTATCAACGATAGCTGTTCTTCACCTCAACAGTATAAATTGTATTCCCATTATGTTTGTCTATGTGATAATGACCCGAGAAATTCAACAAACCACTAGTTTTGCAGGGTACAAAAGTGCTGGATTTGAGGTAAGTAGATTAGATCCCACATGATGTTAATATTGTTGTGTACAGGCTGCCATGGTGGAATAGTCCCCTTCACAGTTCCCTGTGCCATCTTGAAAGGTAGCCATGCCTTTGCATTGAAGCGAGACGAACAGTGAGCTTGCAATGATATTATTACCTTTTTTAACACCTTGGACAATTATTCATGTCTCTCTCATCGTTTGTCTTGCTTTGATGCAAAGCAAAAGTGCTGGATTTGAGATAAGTAGATTAGATCCCACCTGATGTTAATATTGTTGTGTACTGGCTGAGAATTAGTCCCCTTCACAGCTCCCTGCACTATCTTGAAAGGTAGCGGTGCCTTTGCATCGAAACAAGTAACATATCAAAGGTCATTCATTGTAACTGCCTGATGAGTATTTTATGATCATACAAAACAGACCTGTAGCAATAAACCAACAAATCAATTCTAAAGCCTTGAACAATAATTCTTACAATATTTAATGCTGCTACAAAGTTAAGCTCTCTCTGAAAACTATACTAGTATTAATCAAAATTAGAATTATATATATATCAACATTTATTATCCAACTATACTCAGTAGAGTAMAAATATCACAGGAGAAAGCCTGGACCAAGTACAAATGTCCTGTAATATTTGTACTCTAGGTTATTTTGTACAGTAAAAAAACGGTTTTTGAAAATCAATTCAAAGAAGAACATTCATTTTGAAGCCTTATTTTGGAAAAAAGTAAAATCCATCTGATAATAAATAGCTCATTAGACATTTTAGGGTACTGCAGTTTAAAATATCTAATAAGATATATATATTTGCTGCAATATTAGTAAATTAATAAATCACTGATAAATCATAATTTTAACGTCTTCACAGATAATTCTAATTGTGGATGTTCTTATGGGATGCGTATTAAATTATTCACTTTTCCTTTGTGCGACAATGAATTCTGCACTAACAACAAGGTATAGTGACTCAATTAACAGCTATTCTTTAAACCTTGTTTTAATTTCTCTACCTAATATTGATCATTTGCAAATTACTTCATCGTAGCTACACCTAGATTGTTTGTAGTAAAGGATTCTTAATTTACCCTCCTCTTTGGTAAAGTCAGGGCCGAAGCCACCGATAGGGTTGGTCCGGTTTCAGGGTTGAATTAACAGTTGAACATGGCGGCCATGTTTATCATGATGTGTTTATTTATCTTTAAAACAGTCTTGTGGGAGTCGTCAAAGGTGTCTTAACAACTTTTATTGGTTTCTTCACATTTGGTGGTGTTCCTGCAACATTTCTAACCATTACTGGTATAGCCCTTAACACTTTAGGTAGTGTTTTGTACACCTATGGCAAGTACCTTGAAAACATAGAGAAACAGATCCATAAGCACGTCCATGAACAGTCTATAGAGATACATGAAGACCCTAAGGTAGCCAATGGAATGGTTGTTATTAATGGTAGTACAGATAATCCAGAATTAAAAACAATCAAGGTTCAGTCATGATAACCAAAAGTCATGTAATACATCAAACACATGAAAGAGTGTCTCATCCGATTTCCAAACACCGCCGAAGTGAGTTGAAAAAACGAGGCAGAACTTTTTTTTACCAACTTCAAAGTGTTTGGATAGAGGATGAAGCACTCTTTCAAGTGATTGTTATGGCTTTTTGAACTATTAGTAATTCTTGGAGAACAAATTATTTAAATCATAATTTGCCCAAATTTTATACTTATTAAGAACACATTTTCAAACCTCCTTACAGTAACGCTAACTAGTGATTTTCTTTGTTTCGTCCTCATGAATTAATTGAGTTTGAGAAGTAATTCAAGTATACTATTCCATTGAGGGGGAGAGGAAAGGAGGGACAGAGGGTGTGGGTACACAGCACCTCTTAGTTCCTTATAATGCAATGATATAATCACAAGTTAATTAATTAAATTCAATATTCCTAATTAATTTACTCAAACTAGTCAGTGAAAACTGTCATTTAAGTCAATAACTACTATATTTTATAAATTTTAACTTCGAATTCCTAAATAGGAGATGAGATTTTATTTCTAATTTTTAACACAAATTTCAAATGCTAACTAGTTATTTGATTTTTTTTATTTATTTATTTATTTATTTATTTTTTGTTTTCTTTGAGAAATAGGGACGACCAATTTTTTTCAGTAAGATATGACTTATTTTTGACAGCTTTCCATGTTTGCGTTGTTTGCGCGTTTTTACCGTAAAAAGTGGGAACTTCGACGTGTAGGGATGGTTAGTCGGGGACCCCCCTTTTTTATTTGCTTATTTTACTTCTAGTATGATGTTCTTTCATCGTGCGAAAGTTTTGAAAAATCTGCCGATGGGAACTTTTGCACATGAACATTCTTAAGTCAGTAACGTAGGTTTCCCACTTTACGAAAGCCACTCTATCTAGCAAAACAGCTATTAGTAATTTTCAATAGAACTAACATATGTATTTGAATTAAGATTATATATCAAGTATTTAAGGTAAATCTTTTTATTTATTTATTTATTTAAGTCAATATTYATACAGGCACATCTAGTTTAGCAATGCTAGTTTAAATAGAGTCTTCAATAATCATTGACAAATCGCACGTTTTTATAATGCACCAATTTGCTTATTTTGCCCACCAACTTCCAAGATATGCTTCGCTTTTCAGGCACAAAGGTTTTAATGTGAGGCTTCGTTGCATAATGCTCAGTAATTTGTGACAGGAGAAAAGAATAAATCTAATTTAGCACGTAGCCTCGTACTGAAACCTTTGTGCGTGCAAGCGAAAAAGCATATCTCAAAAGTGGACTCAGTGTTGTGTTCTTCCGTCAATAAATATAAATAAATAAACTTTATTTATAGAGGATAACACTTGACAGTAATCAGTTCAACTGATTAACTCGTGGTCCTCTTTTAACGTCTCTAGTTATTAGGGACGGGACACACACACACACACACACACACACAGTTCAAAAACGTTGTCGTCGACTGGCTCAAGCCTACGCGACTGGACCGAAAGGAATATCGGGTAAAAATCACTGAAGCTGTTAAATATTCGCTCTGAATTAATTGTTCCCGCTAGTAATAAGATAATAATGGCGAGAAACAATCCATGAAATGCATGTTTTCGGGTTTAGGGAAAGAAAAACAAAGTGGTTATGATTCAGTTCACAATTCCGAAAATATGAAGGCATTATAAAAACGTCTCCTTCAACACTTCCCGCTCGCCTACGAAGGTTTGTGCTGTAAAGCAGGCATAACTAGTCAGATAAAATTATGGAGTCAACTCGGCTTCAATGATTACTACCCAGAGTTCTTTTCGGTCCAGTCGCGTAGGCTTGAGTTGGTCGACGACAACATTTTTTGAATTACACACACACACACACACACACACACACACACACACACACACACACAAACACACACACACACATGCATGCATGCATGCGCTTAAAAGTATTTAGATATCAAGTATTTATTTGTAAAATAGCCAAGAATTTCATGAAGGCATGCACCAAGCAAAGACGTGTAGAGTATGCGAAACTGAGGTATTTGCTTTTGTTCTGAATGTTCTGCTCAATTGCAAGTAATATCCACTTGAAGATCCAACTTGCAGATCCAACTTCATTTTCTCACTATGAAAAGAAGCTTGCGTTGGCTTGCGCCAGTGCTTATGCTTGTGTCGCAGTAAGATTAAGGTGTAATTAGTTAAATGCAGGGCGAAAAAAGGGAGCCCTCCTTCCTTCCACCCTGTTAAATGAGATAGTAATATGAGCTAATAGGATAGAGTGCTCTTACTTAGCCCGTGAAACAAAGTATGATTAGTGTCTAACAGTCAAAGTGGTAAAACGAGAGAAAACATTTATTTTCTATTACATATTTATTATCCTTGCTATTTTTTCATGGGCCAAGTAAAATCACTTTAAGGTATAAGGGGTGGATTTGGTCCGCATACAACCTAATCGCTACCTCAAATTGTTAACGGATTTTACAATATTTTTCCATAAAAGTTTCATTTGTGAATATTGAATGGATAGAACTTTGGTGAAATAATGATAGATGTGTTGATCATCACAGTGAATGAGCGATCTAAGCGAACGCTGTAAAGAAAGACCTGAAAAAACGATTTCAGGCTTCAACGGGAAGCCCGTAGCCCGTTGAAGCCTGAAATCATTTTTTCAGGTCTTTCTTTACAGCGTTCGCTTAGATCGCTTATTCATTGTGATGATCAACACATCTATCAATGTTTCATTTCTTTCATTTTCTAAGAGCTAAATAAACGTAGTTTTCGAACATCCATTTAGAATTGTCAGTTTTGGAACACTAAAAATGTTATTGGGTTTCTGGTGGTTTCTGCAATCTGATTGGCTCTCAGCAGTGCGATTTTATCATAAGCCGTACCATTTTGAGTTGTGAATTGTCCTGTAGTTTCTTTATTGGCCAATGAAATTGCAGGAAACATAGAATTTGACCAATTAGATCACAGAAAGAGAAACCAAAAAAGAAAAAAAAATTTGAGTAGAATTTCTAGGTGAGAAACAGGGCTCTGGTACGAGATTGGTTGATAGTGAAAATCAGTACACGTAAATATAGAGCGAGCATGCGCAGTGGAAAATCTCGTTTAACCTTGCGTACGCTTTGAGGATGCCCATCAATAACCGCTGATCCCAGTAAACATATATGGCCGCTATCGCCGTTATGGGGAAGAAGATCATGAGAAATGTATAGAAGAAATAATTGAAACAAATGATCACTGTCCACTGATGTCGCAAATCAATGCATTTTGCTCAGCCTCGTCCAGTTATTGTTTATTTTTGCTTTCTCAATTAAACGCGTCTCTCACTCTGAAAAGATCTATAGTACCTTTTAGAACTATAGTTTATTAGTAAGCTTTATTTTTCTTACTTTACCAGTATGTTTTACTGTCCTGCCAATCAGATTTTTTTCAGATATTTTTCCGTGCATGACAAATTGACCTTTATTAACCTAGCTAGTTCGTCTCACTCATTTAATCGAGCTTAGTAAACACATATACTGAAATTGAAACGCTGTAAACCATGTAAACTTAACTGTTTTCTGACGTTATCCGTCTGGCTTTCACCGTCGATCAATTTACCCGACTGCTCAATTTACGTAAATTACACCGACCTCCGAAATAGTTAACTAACTTGTTTTTAATTATATCTTTAATCAGTAATAATTTTACGAATAAAATATAAAGTTTGAAATAATTGATGTGACAGATGACCGTTGAGAATATTATAGTTCGTAAACAAAACAACCTTTGGTCGTCTAACTCAGAACAAAGTTTAGGCGGGAAAATTGTCCACCTGTCAACCACTTTAAAGTTGACTGAGGTCATTTTGCGTTATGAAGCGTGTGACAGGTAGTGATTGTTAAAGATTAAAAACCAATCACTCTGTTCTCCAATCAAAACAGATCCTGCTAGTTACCCTAGATACGGCTTCTTGACCAGTAACGGCCGGGTTAGGTGACATAAGTGTGAAAGTATGGTATGATACAAGTGCAAAACATTTCAGTGAATTGAAGGTAGGGGGGCCGTGCCGTGCCGTGCACGATCTATCCTTGGTTGACCAAGGGTTTTTTTTTCGAGGTTACAGTAAATCATTTAATTACATGGTTGGCTGGAGGAGGCACATAGAACGCAATGTAGCTAGGGGAAAGAATAGTTTGAACTAGTAGTTGTAGTAGATTAAAATGGAAGAACCACAGGATACAACTTTCTATCAGGACGAACAGATCTCGTCACATCTCATGCCACATTATCTTTACGATAAAAATGAACTGCAGCTGAATCTACATCCTGTAGCTACAGAAAACAAGCTCGAAGGATTGAGAAAGAATGCTACTCCCTCGGAGCTCCRTTCGCCTGATTTTGGTCTACTTAAACTGGGCTCTCCGGAACTTGAAAAAATGATCATGTCTCTGCAAGGAACTGTTACGACTAACACGACGCCATGTTCGTTTTACAACACAATTTCACACGCTTCGATTAATAACAGCAGTGATAACTATTCACGCGGATTCACGGAAGCCCTTCAGGATTTACATGATAAGCAATCAACAGGAGAAAGCTTGATTGATATAGCGGATAATGCGGCCAGTACTGACCCCTTCTTGGGAGAACCATCCGTTCATAATAGCGGATCATTATTGAACACAAATCCAACATTACTCAAAAACACTGCAGAACCTTTGATTTATTCAAACAGTTCGACACGGAACGCAGAAACGACTGAATATTTTGCCACTAACAGTAATGTCTATTCAAACTCTAGAAGTACTGCAATGTTTAATCCATATTCTCAGCCTTGCGGAAATACAGGATATCAAGGTGTTTTTTCCTACCCTCAGGAGAACTTGGCTTATCAGGACCCGTACACTAATGACTCTAATACTGCGGCCTTGCGTGGTTTTTCGCCTTTTTCGCCCTACGGTAATGTCCTTAACCAACAAAAACAAGATCTTCAGCCTACTTATAAAATAGATCCTGGACAAACACAGATTATGGCAGACCCTGGGATTTTACAACCAATTGATTTGGAAATACAAGAGGTTGTAAAAAGAGAGAGGAAAAAGCAACGAAACCGTGTGGCCTCTTCGAAATGCCGAAAACGCAAACTTGAACGGGAAGCGAGGTTAGAAAACAGGGTAAAAGATTTGAAAGAGAGGAATATAGAGCTGAATGCAGTCGCGAATGCTCTGAAGCAACAAGTGTGTGACTTGAAGCAAAAGGTGATGGATCACGTTGGCGAGGGTTGTCAGATTATGCTCGTCCACCAGTCACAAATGTCAACAAGCTAGGTTTATTTGGCATCTCTCACGGTTCACCTGTCGTTGTTTATCTCTGAATCGATAACCGTGTAATCGAATTGATGGTCTTTCGTCTACCAAGACCAACAAACCTATACTCCAACGAATAGCTATGTTTAAAAGGTTTCACAAATTTTCTTTAATCGCGAGAATTCAGTGATTCCATTTCAGTTACTTTTTTTACAAAGTTCTCTCATATTTTCACCTGAAGTTTAAAAAAATGACATCATCCGAGAAAGATTTTTGGGCTCTTTCGAACTTCTAGATTTCAATACTTGGAAATTGATATAATATCTAAAATTAAAATATAAGTCTAAATCTGGCATATTAAGTAATAAAATTCCCAGTATCATCTAGGCAATTTAAAATAAGTCTAGCCGAAATATATTTAGTAAATCTCGTAGATCTGTAATTCATCTACATTAGATGCTTGATTCGTGTATTCATTTTTAACTAATATTAATTCATGATATATAAAAAAAACGGGTTTTGTATGAATAAGATCTGTTTGCCGGAAGCACCGAAAACAATTTGTTCCCAAAAATGGCTTTCCATTGGAATTTTGTATGATTCAGCCAATCACGATGCTTGGTTATAAATTGAGCGGGAAAAACAATTCGCGTTTGTAAGCGTGCTTCCGTATATCAAAATTCCGCCTCATAGTTATCAGTAAATTATAGAAATATATAGAATAAAAGAAAGAAAATATGAGCCATTGATATTATATTATTTTAACTGCAAACAATCATTGCTATTCGCTTCCGTGTAATCAATTTTGACCAGACTGCATTTTTTACACCTAGCTTTTGCCGGCCACCATTTTGTATTTACCTTCTTATAAGAAATCTCAAACAGCAAAGTTGTTAAAAACGACTTTAGAAAACGAAGGTTGAGTGCGCAATACTAACGCTTTTGCTTCTTAAAGCGAAAAAGAAAATTAGTCCACAAACACATCAAAAACACTTTTAATATTTCCACTTTATTTAGCATGTTGCTTGATTTTTTTTAGCCGTTCGCATGCCGAGTTTATTTTTTCAGTCAAATTAATAATGGTACAGGTAAATTCATTGATTAAAATGTAATGAGCAAATCTCTGTAAAAAGAAATTTGCGTTATAATTTAAGTAAATTTAAGCGAGACAAGTTTTGAATAAGGATACATCTACGTACATGCACAGTTACATTGCACTCTGGACGATTTGTGGTACTCGCTATCGTATTCATTGTCTGATGTCAGTAACAAAAACAAGCTGCTTAAAATATATTTTTCGAGTTCGTACAATACCGCTGTGTTCCTTGATTACAAACTCAAGGTTAGCCTCCTCTCAGTGTCTAAATCTCCACAAATACCAATGGTACGTGAAGTGAAGAATGCAAAGACTTTGAAAATTCCACAGACTTCCACATGAACACATGAATRTTAATCACAAAATTGAGACTAAGGCCCCGTCCACACGTACCCGCAAATTTTTATATCCGCAATTCTCATTTTACGGATGCGGGTTGCGTCCATACGTTCCCGCAAATTTTTGTGTCCGTATCCTCAAATTTTGCGAAAACGGATACGTGTGGACGGTAAAAACGATTCGAATACGCTGCGTGTGGACGCAAACATTTTCATATCCGCAAAAAATAATTTGCGGATACAAAAATCTCCGGATACGTGTGGACGGGGCCTAACCCTGAGCAAAAAAATTTCGAACCACTTAAAAAAATATTCAATACATTCATGAATGCACCTAATTTTCCGAAATCGCTTGATTAACCATTAAGCAATTGACTCCAAGTCATCTAGTTTTGCCTTGATGTGTTCATGGTATTTAATGACCTTATTTTATGAATTCCAACCTCGCCTTTGTAGCTATGTTTAAAGGTTGAAGTGAATGAGCTTTTATCATAGGTCCAAAACTCCCAGAACTGACACGGTTGTACGAAGGGTGGATAGCGCTATCGATATCCCGGAGGATGCCGCGATCATTATCCAGAGGACAACTCGATGCTGTCATCCAATAAATTCAGTTATCCGCTGGATAAGATTTATCCGTCGGATATCGCTATCCATGCACCCTTCGCACGAGCGGGCCCAGAAGAAGAGCACCATAGCTGGAAAGAGCGTATTTCATTGATAAAACTGTGCATAAAATTTTAAGGAAGTCCGAGATCAAAATTTTTTTTTTTAAATTTCGTATGAAAACATTCGCTGGAGGCATATAGTGAATTTCTTACCACCAAAAAAGTTAAAGTTTTTCTATAAAACTCACACTTTTCAAAAATCATATCTTTGCGATTTTTTTAACAACTTATTTCCTTAAAACTTTACAGATTAACTGCTTTTAACATGCTCTTTTCAGCTATGGTAATTAGTTTTCTGTTCTCTTTTTCACTAGTTTAAAAATACCTGATAAAAGCTCCTAGCATCATCTGTACTTRTGAACATACTACTTTAACAAAAATGTTTTCCATTTTCCATTATCAGTACTTGTATAAAACCACCAGTCGTCAAAATTTGTTTCGTTTATATTTATAATTGTCACGCTTATTTTTAGCTTTAAAAGAAATAAACTTTTACTCAATACCATTTCCTATGCCTCGTTCTTTCTGTATTCCTTTTTTTTCCCGCCAAAGGACTAAATAATGGCCGGATCTAGTTAAACCGACCAATAATAATGCCGGCCGATTGCATGCATGATATTGTGTGGAGGAAAACAGCTTTGAAGGACAAAATAATCATAAATAAAAAGTTTAAACAAGAATTTTTACGCGTTTCATTGTTTTTAAAACGGTCGAGGCTACAGTACAAGGAGAAGGAATATTTGCATTAGCTTCCTCAGATGATTTGCAAGCCACTTTGATTTAAAAAATGGCTTCAAGACTTTCGTCTAAATCCATTCCAAGATTGTTAACCCTTTTGATGGTCCTTATTGCTGTTGTTTATACAACAGTTGAGTGCTTGTCTAATTCTTCAGCGAGAAATGATGGGATGGAAAAACTCCGCCAGCGTCGTGCCCCAGTTACAGTGAATGACCTTCACAAACTGATCAAAAAGCTAGAATTGAGGTAAGAATCGCCTTAAATTTTTGCTCTATTCGTATCTTCGTTGTTTTAATTCATCCCATGTTTTTTGTTTTTTGTCTTGTTTTGTCCTATCGATTTATATTTATTCACTCTTGTAGGATGAATTAGATCCAGTCACAGCGCATGATACTCGTAAGAGGTTAGAAAAATATTTCGATACCACTCAAAAATATTGTTCACGCAAGGGGATAATTATCAATGTTAGAGTAATTTTACTTGGCTCGCAAATTAAAATTATTAGTATTAGCGCGTAATACATAAACCTACAGTACTTTTTAATAGTTAGTTTAAGACAAAAAATATATAATACAAAAGTGTACAAAACTCAACAAATATATTTCCTCTTACTCTTCTTTATTATGATTTTGTAATTTAATTTTTTTTCTCACAAACTCAAGATGTTTATTTATTTCATTTTGTTCATCATATCACATACTTTGTTTCCTCCACATAATACTTCTTGTTTAATTCTTGCTATATCATGTAGGTAATAAACTATATCTAGTGCAAATCCAATTACGTACTAAATCTGTGTAAAAGCTAATTAAACGCTAGACATAAATATAGGTCTATATTTATACAGCTATTTCAAAAAGGTTGAATAATGAATATTGCATTCCAAGACCGAAGTGCATTGTGGGTCATAGTGACATTGTCTAAAGTAGGATAAATAATAATTATTCGTATTCTATTTTCAGTGTATTCCATCTGAAACAATATACTAACTACATGTAGAGAGATAATTGCTGTATATTAATTAATTTTTATTTCAAATTAACGATACCCAAAATGCACTTTGGTCTTGGAATGCACTATTCAGTGAATTCACTATTAGGAGTGGTGCATGACTTCGTTCTCAGGCTAGCTGACGCTGTTTTACTGTTAAAGATAGCAATATCAGATTGTTCTAGCAAATTACTTATGTCAATATCTTCAGAAATATAATTTGGTTTCGTACCGACKTTCTCTGCGGCCTTGGCTTGTTACTTGAGGCTCTTGGTGCGACAACGATCTTCGAAATAGGTGTATATCGATCATATCTTCTTGTCGTATTGCAATTAAGTTTATACTTATATATATATCAATTAACACGGTTGAATTCCAGGCGGAAAAAATAGTTATTTTTTTGTTTAAGGTCGAATTGGAGGAGAGCTGTACACGCATAAAGGAGGAGGTGCCCAGTATGTCTGTTTAACAGAACATCCCACATACGCTAATTACAAAGATGGCCTCGGTTCAGAAAGCGGCAACATGTGGGGCACAGAATATGAAATTCCAGGTTTTAACCCTTTTTCGACAGGAGGACTTAGTCAGCACGATGCCGTCTGTGCTGTGTGCCACGTAAGAACACGCGGTTCTCAGCTCATGATCCCTGGGACTTACATCTGTCCCTCGGGCTGGACCCGCGAGTACCATGGCTACCTCATGTCCGAGAAATTTTACCATCATTCCAGCCAGTACATCTGCGTTGATAGAAATGCTGAGTACGTGCCTGCAAGTGGAGGAAACCGGAATGGAGCTCTTCTTTATCTGGTAGCAGGAATTTGTGGTGCCCTACCGTGTTTGCCCTACGTCGAAGGGCGACAGTTGACCTGTGCGGTATGCAGTAAATAATATCGAACTCATTGGAAAAAAGAGTATTTGAAAGCTAAAAATTTCAATGCCGTTCAGTGTTTCATAAAATCAGCATCAAAATTTACTGATATCGTAAGAGCCGCGTAACAAGAGAATGCTAAAATAAAACAATTACTAATCCCAGACAATAGTCCTTTTTGGGGGAGGGGGGCAGGTGTGAACGTTTGGGGAGGACGAAGCACCGTGACTGTCGGCGACCGGCAGACGCAGCACAATTTTCTCACTCACCAGCTCAAATTTAAAATAATATGAACTAAACGGGATTGACATTATAAAACTTTATTTCCAAATAAAATAAGAATACAATATAAAGTACAAGGTTATTCAGATTATTAATAATGAAAATCAGGCATTTATACCCATTTTAGAAGAGAACAAAGACGGTGCCGATTTCTTATTAGTGTTCTTCGGTCAGTCTGACAACATACGGACAACAATAGTCAACCGTGTAACAATATCGATAATTAATTCATGACAAAACGACAACATACAAACGTGAAAGCGACGGCGCCTTGTACCAGATTTTTTAATGTTTCAGTGCGACAGCACCACGTGCCTCTGATGACCATGATCGCGAGTTTTGATTGAAATTTTGAATTGTATTTTTCACGAGTTTGTTTTTAAGAATTCTACAAATATATTTAGCCAAGAGTGCTTGCCATTTACCAGGAAAAACTGGAAATTCCGGTTGGAAATGATACGCATCATTGTAATCTGAAAGTTCCGGAAAACTCGCTCTTGCGATTGAGGTAATCCACTTTTCCCGCTCTTTTCGGTTCTTTCGGTAGACGCGTGTACCATTTGTCGGAAGTCAAAGTTTCCCGCTCTTTTCTTACCATTAGCGACTGAATTTCCAACCGGATGGATTGGTTTAAATGTTAAGCACCCAGTCATCCAATATCCCGTCTATACCATCGACTCGGTGATAAAGAACGTCGCGGTAAATGAATTAGTATCATCTATTGCTGTCACTATAGTTACTAAAACTGTTACTTCGTTTCTTGTGCGCATGCCCACTTCCTATGACAACATTCTCCCAGAATCCTTTTCACCTTTAGCGTGGGATTGAGACAAGCACTTGGAACAGGAGGGGGGTCTGGACACTGCTTAAAGTTTAGGAAACCATTTTTGCATTCCATGACAACAGCACATGATGCATCTGTAAGGCGTTCCCCGTCATCTACTTTGATTTCCCCAAACGAACAGCTTTTATCTGAGAGATCAAAAATATTTCGAAATAAATGGAAATGCTAATTTGAAGAATTAATCTGGGCATGGCAGTTTTAGCATAAGATTATGATTTATATAGCGCCCTTTGATAGATAATCCAAGGCTTTACATTGAGTTTTGAATGTCAGATTGCTTTTCAATGCAATTGGACGTTTACACGATGGTATCATTATCCTCTACTACCAGACTTCCTTGAACACTTTCTTTTGTTCAGTTAATAAGCACCAATTGTCTTACTATTCTCATGAAGGAATACAAACTTGAATAAGAAAGAAAATTCGCGAAGCATCTTGGTAGTGGAAGTCAAATGACGCCATCATGCAAACGTCCTATTTACAAGCATGAGAGATGGTTAATATAAGGTGTAGGTGTCAATGCTAGGGTTTCTTTACGTCCTCCGATATTGGTTAGTGATGATGAAGTGAGAGAGTGGAGAGACGGGACCTCCATTTTAAGTGGTCATCCGAGCCACTCAAAAATCTAACCATTTAATTTGTAGATGTCATCAGTTATATTAAGACCCCGAGTGTTGGTCCGGCCGGCACTTGAACCACGACATCCCGCACAAAAGTCCAATGCTCGTCCAGCTTCACCCTGTCCCGTGCCACCGTAATTTTGCATTGTGTTTTAGCTTTTTTGTATTCATATAATTTTCTTGCAGCACGATTTCTTACGTGTGCGACATCCCTTAAAACTAAAAGTGGCATGCAGCAGCAAAAATGTATGAATAATATGAATAATACTAAAATCATGTATCTTGTTTTATACCTGGACACAACCATCGCTTCTTGCAGCACTGTCCTGGTATTGTAGTGATCTTTAGTTTAGGATGAGCACAGCTGGTTGGTTTTTCGGGGAGTTTTGGACACTCTTTTATCTGCAGATGACCATTCATGCACTTGACTACACCAGTACACAGTTGATCACTGAGGCTTACACCATGAGGAATTCTTCGCCCACCAAACTCACAGGATGTGTCTGTTACAAAAAAACCGCTTAAATTATATTACCATTCCCAAGAGAATAAAAAGAGGAAGACATGGCGGCCATGGAGGTGGACAGTTACTAAAGGACCTTATGAGAAGTCGTTTGTTAAAAGTCCACCTGATGAAGCTCCTTTCGATATGGATATAATCAAGTGCGCTTTACATACATTTTCATATTTTCCCCTATAAATGCACATATTTTGCCTTACACTTGTGTGTGCGTGTGTATGATCGGGAGTATGTAAACAAGAAACAGCTTAAAATCCAGAATTCGTCACCATCCTGCTATATTCAGCGTCAAAAACGTGATTTGTTTATTTGCTACTACTTTTTGCTCAATAAAATACAAGAATTAAAGGACAAAACCATTATCGCGAAGAAGGTTTGAAAAAGTGTTCTTAATCAGTATAAACTTTGGGCAAAGTATGCTTTGAATTTCTCCAAGAATTATTAATGGTTTGAATTTCAAGCACTTGAAAGAGTGTTGTTGAGTGTCGGCTTTTCTTCGCTTTTTTTCAACTCACTGAAACACTCTTTCACGTGTTCGATATATTCAATGTGATAGTGTTACCTTTGCATATCCACTTCTTGATGCAGCACTGGCCTGGTCGCTTTTGGACCTCCAGTTTAGGGTTGGCGCAGTCTGTTGGTTTGGCCGGTACACCAGGACATTTCTCTACTGTAACAACACCATTACGACATGTAACTACTCCACCACACAGCTCGCCACTCCATCGATGGTTATTGCGAATCGTTAACTCGCCATATTTACAGTCAAACTCTAGAGCAGAACAAAAAGATTTACTTCAGATACTCTTACTAAGAGATAATCTCATAAAACTAACGGCATAAGCATCCAAGAGAAGGGTGTTGCTTTAGTAATAATATTTGTAATATAGCTGGACCTTCAAGTCTTTCTGGATAATTGATATCGGGCCATTTGCCCTGTCTTCTATTCCGCAGATGCAAATAAGAGAAATTAAGCTTAAGAGTCTATTGAACTATGCATATAAGAGAAAGAGATTGTCTCTCGAAGGTCTCTGCATTTGCCAGCGAATGACGACGTTTCTATCATACCGACATGGAGGAGTGTGAAATTTCACAAACGTTTGAACTTTTGCTGTCAAAAACATGTAATGAAGTCCTGAACTGTATTAGGGGGAGGGCGGTCGCCCCTCTTCCTAACCCCCCTATACCTAAAGTATATCAAACATAATCAGTCTTACCGGGTCTTGTGGCCCCTACTTCATCTCGTCTCTGAGCTCGATCCAAAAATGCTATCTGTGAGCTGACATAGTGTGGATGAGGTACCATGACTGGCTGACACAATTCCTTGCTGTAACATGCTACTCCAAAACACCTTCCATCCAACATCAATGCCACGTCACACACTTTCTTGTGGCAACACCGCTGGATACACTCATGCATGCCTGCTGACCCACCTAAGTCTTCCACGTGACCAGCACGTGTACCTCCTTTTAAGGAATAACCCGTTTTGATGTTGTCTGGGTTATGGCATCTGTGTGATGATGATTTTTTGTCTGCAATAAGATTACATGTGTAGTAAGGTCAGTCGGAATCCAGACATGTAAAATAAAGAGCAGATCCTAATTACTTTAAATTCGGCTGTTTACAAGAATCAGAAATAATTTACCACGAATTTTTTTTCCTCGTGCATAGGAAAATATTTTTCACATAGAAAAGTTTTATTAAGTAGAAGGTAGTTATAGTTTTTCTGTGACAAAAAAATCGGGATATATACGATTTCCACTAACGTATGTTTCAAATGAAAAAAACTTTTATGAGTTAAGTTGCATAAGCAACCATTGCGTATTTACGCCTTCGGAAATGCCAAAACGAGGCCTCTTTATTCAAAGTTTAAGTGTATAACCAAAAAGTTATTTTTCTTTTCGTACTAAATCTCTGAAATATGCATTTTTACCTTGGGCGTAATGTTTTCCCATTTCAAACCACTTGCTATTCTCTTGAGAATGACCTGCACAACCGTTAAACAAAGAAATGATACTCTAGAGAATTACACGTGGTTTGAATTGGGAAAACAATACGCACAAGTTTAAAAGTTTAAAAAATTGCTAAAATAAACGCATGCGCAAAAAAAAAAAAAAAAAAAAAAAAAAAAAAAAAAAATTGACCTTATTTAACGAGGGTGACATACATTACTGGTGACCCAGTAGTTTCCATTATGGCATTATGCAAACGCATGCTGTCCATTTTCTCTTTATACTCACTGAGCTTTGCCTGTGTTCTCTTCTTGTGTAAATTTGGCCGGTGAATGTACTTCAACAAAGTTTTACTTTTTCTTGGCTTTTTGTGTTTTTTATCATCGTGTTTAGCTTCATGATGCTTGAGATCAACGTCTTGTTTATGATGCGTTGCCTTGACAACCCTGTGCTGTTTAGTTGGCTTTTTTGCTGTTTTTTTAATTAGAACTTTACTATTATGAACATTCTTCACATTCTTCTCATTCTTCTCCATGTGTACGGCACTGTGCAGTGGAGCATGTTTAACGGTAATTTTCCTTGTTTTCTGTGTTTCATTTTCAAGTTTTTGAACATGTTTTACTTTATGTATAGTACTTAATTGGTGTATTTGCTGTTGTGGTGTTTGTAGTGGAGATTCTTTCGACGAGTTTTGGATGTTATTAGCATTCTTGTTTGATGATTTATGAACAGTGCTTTGCTGAAACGATTGGTGGTCGACTTCTGCATTCACTCCTGCTCCTGGTTCAAGCTCTTTTTGTTCTTTTATTTTAATTCGAGATTTGTTTTCTTCATCTTCGTCCTCATCTTCATCTTCATCTTCATCTTTACCAGCTTAAATGTAACATTTATATGACAGTGTTAATGGAGCAGATTCGTTTTTTTAGAAAACAAGTGGGAGAAGAACCTACATCGGGACCATATTACTTTCTGTTGGAAGGAATGAGTTTCGTGACCCTCCCCATTCCTCTAGAGTGATGGTATTTTCTGTTTGAAGGAATGAGTTTTGTGACCCTCCCCATTCCTCTACAGTGATGGTATTTTCTGTTGCAAGAAATGAGTTTCGTGACCCTCCCCATTCCTCTAGAGTGATGGTATTTTCTGTTTGAAGGAATGAGTTTCGTGACCCTCCCCATTCCTCTACGGTGATGGCATTTCTGTTGGATAGAATGATCCTCCCCTCTTTTAAGTGGATGACTTCTAATAAGGTGCAGGCAATCAATATACAAGTCTTTTGATGATGCGCATGCTCTTGGGCTTTGGCTTAACACTTGTGAGCGCAAGTGTTCGGAGGGTTAATTAAGAGGATTGAAACCTAGAATCTATAGGTACGAGAAATTAAGAAGAGGATAGGCAATAGTCCCCTTCACACTTCCCGGCGCAAGTGTTGGGAGTGCAAGTGTTCGGGAGAGTTAACTTCAGTTAACTGGTTGAAAAACCGTACTCCAAATTATAACTATAAAACTGTTAAACTATACAAATATTTTTTACCATTTTCTCTATTTATCGCGTCTTCCATATTGTCTTCTATTTCACTGTCTACGTCCTCTCCCTCCTCCTTCGCTATTGTTTTGTCAATGTTGTTTGTGTCTTTGTGCGATGAGCCTTGACTCGTTGGTGTTGTGGACGAACCTACATTCGAGGTGTTCTCCATTTTCTTCGTTGGAAGGTCACCAGATCCGGAATGATCATCCTCATCTTTGTCAACATTATCGTCATCATCATCATTGTCATCGTTGTCAACTTGGTCATTCTTAATTTTCTTATCATTTTCGTCAGAAAGGTCAACCTTTTCTTTGTGTTCAGTTTCCGCATGTTTGTCCTCAGTTTTTTTATTCTTTACTTCGTCATCAAGTTTAGAGCTTTTTTTCTTTTCTTCGTCAATTCCACTCCCGCTTTCATTTCCATCGTCATTATCTCTATCTTCCTCAGCATCACTCTCTTCTTTTGTCTGTGGTTTAGCGGGTTTTAGACCAAGTTTCAAAGCATCTCCAACATCTTCCTTATTCGACCCACCATCCTTCTCTAATTCTTCATCCCGTGAGTCAACAGTAGAGCCTTCCTTTTGGGCAATACCACTGTTCTCTTTGTCGTCGTTTTCATCCTCTACTCCATCCTCACCTAAAGCGCCTTTGCTTTCTGCTTTTTTATTCTCTTCACTTAATGTTTTCTCCTCGCCATCGGCCCTAGTTATAATTTGAGCCGACGAATGGTTCCCAGAAATGTTAATCGCGTGTGGTGTGCCGACCAATGGTGTCGACTGATTTTCCTTTGCAGTCGACATTACTCTGCTGTCAGGAGAATGAACCACCACGTGAGAAGAAAAGCTCCTTAAATGCTCATCAGCTAAAGAACCCGAATGGAGAACGTTTGCTTGTTTCTGAGCACTTGCCTCTTCGCGTGAAACGCTCTCTTCTCCACTACCAGCTGAGCTTCCTTCGTTGTCCTTCACGACAACCTTTTCTTCAGCTTCATGCCCACCACTTCCATCGTGTTTTTCCTCTGCTTCGTCTTTATGAGGAGTGAATACTTTTGTATAATTAGTGGAGACGTCTGCTCTGTTTGGTCGTGGATGTGGAATGTATGAACGAGGTTCTAACCTCATTTCTTGTCGTGCTTCATCGTCGAGTTCCATCTTCTCGGGTGCATAGTCAGCTGCAGATTAGATAAATTTGTACATTTAGAACGGGAACTTTGGTCTAGTATAGAGTGGTTGTCATAAACCCATGAAACAACGTCTCCTAGGGCTCTTTCACGCTAGGTCCATTTTAGATCGATCTAGTTTGGATAGATCCGAGATCTACCCAAGCTCAGTTTTCGAGCGTTTACACAAGCTATAAATGATCATAAACGTACAAAAATGACAAAAACAAACCAAAGAAAAAAAAACAAAACAAAACAAAACAAAACAAAAAACAAAAACAAAAACAAAAAACAACAACACAAACACACAGGTAGTTTAACCAAAACCGGGTGCCATAATCAGCGTTCGTGCTACATTTCAAACACAAAATTCAAGGACTTTTTAAGGACTTTTCAAGACCCAAAATTACGATTTTCAAGGACCATTTTTTTCTTAACAATTTAAAGAGACAAACAAAACGCATTATTTTAGATAAATCTAAAGGTTTGGAAACTATTAGGGACTATATTAAACCATGGCAGATTTAGTTCCACTCGTTCCTTTCTTCTTCATCTCATATTACGCTATTCTCAGTTCGTGAATTTTCCAACATATTCATAATTGCTTTTAGAGACAAAACTTCCTTGTCGCTCGACGCTTCATCACGTTTCAACATCATTTAGTAGAGTAGACTGCGTGTATGCTACTCGTGAGGTGCGATATGATGAAGAATAACACATCTATCGTGTATATATAGGTATAATAGACACTAGTAGACCCAGCGAGGTCGGAAATTAATTTTTCCGAATTTAATTCCAAGGGCTTTCACCCGGAATAACCTCGTTCCCAAGCACTACAACTTACCTATATTATCTTCTACTATTTCATTAGTGCCACGCGGTCCACATACTCTCACTAGTAGACCCTAGACAGTCAATAGACATCTACTGTGTATAGAGCGTTTTCACGTGACGTCACAGCGGCCATTATGGGAGTACCAAAACAATACATTTTCTATCCTCCGGGAATTGAACTCTATTTTATGCAAATACCTTGCAAAAAGTTTCTATTGTTTATGGCTGCCTTCTCACGTGAGCGAAAACGCTCTATAGTAGATAATCTTTCAAATAGGTCAAATTTACTATGATGCACGTTCCGTTTAGTTTTACTAAACGCATCCCACATGGAAAGGAGTGAGTATGCGCTCAAAGCCATCAGCGTCACCATCAAGATTTTTGAGTTTGCTGGTCATAGCAAGGGGTTAATCATCTACGGTCTAGGGGCCGACTAACCTCTCCCTTAGGCTTCGGCCGAGCTCCCTGATCAGTCTGTAAATCTCTGGATAGCGGTGTCGGGGTCGAAATCTCCGGCGTAGCCGTAAATGCTTCGCGCTGCCATACGACGGTTCAGCACTCGATGTCTGGAAGTATGGTCCTTTTTCAATGAATGAAAAAGTAAGCCCCAAAATAATAGCATACATAGCATGCGTCTATTGTGCCAATATATACACAATAGATTTCTATTGACTGTCTCCGGGTCTAATAATGTCTATTTTATTTTGTCTATATTTACTGACATAGATGTCAACGAGGACATTCTGAAATTTCACACTAGCGTTCAAGTCCTTTTCAAATGCCTCAATATTTCTTTTAATGCAGTCTTCTAGCATTGCTTTAATTTTGGATTCACTAAAAACATCAAGAAGCAAGTTTGTTTCTTCAAAACACCAAGTTTGTCCTCTTTTAGCTATTTTTGTAACGGTATTTTAAAGAAACAATGTAATTTGTACAGACCAGCAAAACAGATTTTGGCGAGCGTGCAACGTGCATTCAACGCGCGCGCGTGTCTGGTTTGGTGGGAAACTACCGTTCCATGAAGGTAATGGGAATAGAACAATTTAATATGAATCGGTATCGTTCACAATAGTAGCTAGATCGGTTTAACTAGAATTATCTAGAATAAACCACCTCTTGAGCTGCTCTAATTTAGATCACTTGTGATTGTTCTAAATGTAAGTTTTTAAAAACAGTATAAATCGTGTGCGAACGAATCGAATCGAACTTAATGGTCCTAGTGTAACTACGCTGCTAATTAGATTGCAATAGTCGAATAAAATACAAATACAAACATCAAATACACATGTTGAATTAATCACAGTCGCAGGTCATAAGACCGCCTGGTACATGTGGACAACCACTACACTAAAAATATCAAAATATTTACCTTTGACTCTCTGGGATGAATGTCCAACGAAAAAGATAATCTGCAAGCCGAAAAAAAAAAAAAAAAAAAAAAAAAAAAAAAAAAAAAAAAAAAAAGAAGTTGTAGAAAGATTCAAATATGTTATCTAGATATCCAGAAACCCAGTTCCTGATTTCCCGCTGCTAGCTGACCAGCTGATTGGAGAAATCAGGCAATGAACTTGCAAAGGCGGTAGATAAATTATAATATAAAGCTGAGAGTATGTGGACCGCGTGGCACTAATGAAATAGTAGAAGATAATATAGGTAAGTTGTAGTGAGATCCCAGCGAGGCCGGAAATTAATTTTTCCGAATTTAATTCCAAGGGCTTTCGCCCGGAATAACCTCGTTCCCAAGCACTACAACTTACCTACATTATCTTCTACTTATAATATAAAGCGCCGAATTTTGCTTTTATGACAAAGAAAATGCATTAAAATATTTCAGGATATTATGTATCTTTCGGAAGTTATCATCGATCCGTTAAAGCAGACGGTTTTCTCTCTTCGGTCCTCTGGCTTATCGCAGCTTATTAATGTTTAATACAACTTTACAGTCACTGTATTTCAGCTCATTGAGTGATTCCACTATACTACTTGCTCAGCACAGAGATATTTTCCAGTAAAATCCTTAGAGCTCTACTGGAAAATACCCCATTAATACAATACACAAATGATAGATTAAATGCCTCTTTTGTCTTTATAACAACGACAGACTACTTACCACCATGACATAGATTGACAGACGAATTTTCTCGATCATTTTTGTTAGCGACTATATGTCCTGATCAGGTTAGATAGAAATATGAAATCTAAGTTTTGATAACTGTTACACCATGGAAACTTAAACTGTTATTTGATAATAATTGGCCATTAAAAGCGAATAATTAAAAAAGATCTATTTTATAAATCGAGAGATAAAATTTTATCGAATTCCTGCAGTTGTAAATTGATAACGAAAAGAAGCAACGTGATTGGTTGTTTCAGTTTGATTTACCAATCAGATTTTCTTTTTGGTTGAACATGAGAGTTGAACTGCGCATGAGCAGCAGGTCTGAATGGTGACAGACTGGTGGTGACGGGTGGACACAGTACAGGCTTGTTGCTATAGAAACGGTGTTAAAACAACAATAATTAATTAAAATCTTGATCTCTTGACTTTTTATTCTCAATGATTGTGGACAGCAAAATAGGAATAAAAATTATAAGAGAAAAGTTAGGAAATGAGAGAAATTTGGCCAACAAAATATATTCAGTTTGATTCTTGCTCCGCAAACTTCATGGCCTGACTCGTGGATATCAAGTGCAGTGTGCAGGCTTCAAAATATTTGTTTTAAACATTTTTTTGTGCTTTTCATCGCTTTGTTTCCGATGTTTACGCAGGATCTTACAAATCATTAAAACCAAGGAATCAGTTAGCTATAAAACACTTACAAGGGAAGAAATGAAAGAAAGAGAGAGAAAAAAAAAGGAAGTAGCTGAATTTTCAGGACAAGAGAGCACGCACGATTGCTTTTCAACAGCAAGTAGTTTGCTCAGTCAACGTCAAATCCTAGCTTTGCAAAGAATAGGCGGACGGGATTAGGACAGTYTAAGATTACCCCTGCTTTAGTGTAATAAAAAAGTTTCGATTACTGTAAAAAGCCTTGTTTAGTATGTGGCGCAATGAACGTAACACTATAAGTATCTCCAAGCATGCTAATTGGATGAGCGGTACTCGTGGCTTAAAACACAACGTTCCGCGAGGTAGGAAAACCAGAGAACCTGGAGAAAAACTCTTGAAGCGAAGGAAAGAACTTAACAAACAACTCTACTTACATATGAAACTGGGTCGCTTTGGCGAGAGGCGGAGCATTAGCGACGTTCGACACCCGTGCTTCCCATAAATGAAAAAAAAGTTTTTCATTAATAAATTTAATAAGGCAAAGAAATGTTTCACATAATAATGTTCTTCGTCATCCTTTTATTTCTAATAGCATATTGCTACACATTAAAAATAAACTCTCCATTTGGGAGAACAATCATCTACTTAGCAACATTTTTATATATAAAGGTTCAAACGCTAGGGCCGCAGGCCCGGGGTCTTGAACTCTAATGCAAAACCTAGCCCGTGCGTTTGAACTAGTTTAAAAATCAACCACACCCTAAATCCATTGTTTGATGTAGGTTCTTAAATTCTTCGGAAAACCCAGATTCTTAAAGCCGGGTGCGGAATTGATATCAACAGGAGAGAACGGGGCTGAATTATAAACCYGGGATAGGTTTTTAAATAAAGGTTCAAACCACAGGGCGAGGGCTTTCATGAAAATTCAAGACCGAGGGCCGTGTTTTGCATCGAAACAATGGAATTTAGGGCTTAGTTGATATTTTAAGAATTTTACAACACAACACTCACTGACATTTATTTTATAGGGTATCTTTAGAGATACTTTAAAATTTGAAAAGAAGTTTTACAATTTATAGAGGTTTAAAATTTTTAAATAAAGAGGTTATTTACCGTCCTAAAGTCGGCGTTCATACATAAGGGGTAACTATGCTCGAGGTCTTGAATACACACTTTCAAAGGGGCACTTGGATGAAAATCAATGAAAATTGGAAATGACTTGGAACTTGTTTAAACTTATCTATATGGCCCAGATAGTAGCCAAGCAACATGTTTACTTCACAGTCAAAAGTCGCGGGATAAAAATGATCAATTTTATTCAGCTTATAAATTGTGAGTAAATGACGTCATTTACTCAACCCTATTGTTCCTTCTGCTTTTAACCCAAAATATCTCAATAGCAAGTGGCTCCCAGACTAAAATTTTCACTAATCTGATTTTTATAATTGTAATTGAGTCATATTATCTTTGAATACTTCAATTATTCGGACTTTCAAAAATTGGGGCGTTTTCATCCAAGTGCCCCTTTCAAGGTCGGCGCAAGCTTAGGGCACAGTTTTTCCCTATCCGGATCTACTTTAGCATGGTAAATGACTTTTTTTTGGTTTACTTTTTTAAATCTTGTTTTGCAATTTTTGTTGTTGTTCATCGATTCGTTATCTCAGGATACTGAACGGTAAAGCAATCACCAAAATATTGATCAATGGAAATGTTCATTATCAATCAGTGTGTGGAAATACTTAAAGGACTTTTTTACTGTGAAGCATACAAATAATAGTTATATCATCATATACTGTATGCAACAGTTTTAAGAATCTTTATATAAATGTTTCTAGTACAGAGTAAACTATTCATTATCAATAAGTGTGTGGAAATACTTTAATAACTTTTTTACTGTGAAGCATACAAATAATAGTTACACCATTATATTTGCAACACTTTAAAAACTCTTTTATATATCCATGTTTCTATCACAGAGTAAACTATTCATTATCAATCAGTGTGTGGAAATACTTTATGGACTTTTGTACTGTGAAGCATACAAATAATGGTTATACCATTATATTTGCAACACTTTTAAAACTCTTTTATATATCCATGTTTCTATCACAGAGTAAACTATTCATTATCAATCAGTGTGTGGAAATACTTTATGGACTTTTTTACTGTGAAGCATACAAATAATGGTTATACCATTATATGTGCAATACTTTTAAAAATCTTTATATCCATGATTCTACCACAGCATAAACTATTCAACATCAATCAGTGTGTGGAAATATCAATGACTTTTTAACTGTGAAGCATACATATAATGGTTATACCATTATATATGCAACACTTAAGAACTATTCTAAAACATTGATAGTTCAACATAATGTATTACTCAATAAATCTATATACATGTATTTTGCTGTTGTTTGACTTTAAAGCTTGCTCCAGAAATCTACCATGAAATAAACCTTTCATTAGGATGCCACAGTTTTGCTAGAAGACAAAAAAATATACACAGTAAAGGATTTTAAATAAACAGAATATGGACTCAGTATCATGTGGGTAGAGTTTGTCTCTCCCTTTTTTCAAAGGTTCTACAGTCTTCATCCTTTCATAAAAATGTAACAAGCTAAATTCCAACTGGATCTGTGAGTTAGTCATGCCTAGCTTGACCTAGATCAGTCTAGAGGGTGTTTCAGGAGTTATTTTCCATCTTCATAGACACTTGATATTCTAAAGCGACAATAAGCAAGTACAGTGCCCGGGATGTCCTGTCGATCAACTGTCAATGAACTGTCTGCGCAATGGCCAAGGGACAGTGCACTATTGTTGGAGTAATGGTGGATGTTGGCCGGCCAAAAGTCGAAGGGGCATCTGAGGTGCTGTTCCTGCATTTTAACATCTAAAACACATGCCAATCAACCCAGACAAAAACCCTTTTAGCAAGACGTACAGATGGGCCAAAACTTCTCAAGCAACTCAACTGGCTTGAGACGATAAAATTCATAACTTCAAGAGTTAACAGAAGTATTGATGTACCTACTTGGAAAAGACAAGACAGCATAAAGCATCAGGTTCTAAAAATTCCTAAGGTAATAAAGTAAAAAGAACATAATATTTAGTGATATCATCAAAATCAATCTAAGCATTGTCATCACCATCATTATCATGATTCAGGTAAAGAGGAGCATAGTGGAATACCCCCACCCCCTCAGAATCTTGAAATTGAGGCTCCCAGTTATGCGATTTTTGAAATTTTGTGCGGCAATTGCAACATATTTACAGTATCGCATGAAAGTCATGTCAAACCTTCAGGCAACTCATAACAGAAAATAATCTTTTGCTGGAAAAAAAGGGGGGGTGTTTGCCACTCCTTCTCTGTGGTGCCTGTCATCGGCATATAATAAAATAATAATAAATATATCAATAAAGAGTTGTACCTGGCCACTGTTCACTTTTAGCACATAATGGCACATATATCACACCCATTAGCTTCTTCTGTACAACCTTGCCATCTGGCAGTTTATCATGCTGCTCAAGGGTTTGGTTTCTTCCCTCTGGTCCTACAGGAATTATGAGTCTCCCTCCTGGTTTGAGCTGGTCTACTAGCTATTTGAGAAATTGGAAGCAGATTAGCACTAGCTCAAGGAGGGTGGAGGGGGGTGGGGGGGCATGTGACCTAGTGACTCAATCAAAAAGTATGATATCAGCACCAAAATTTAATTATTCCATTCGGGATTCCTGATGGCAGGAAAATAGTATATTGCCCCCAATAATTGAGAGCTTGCTATGCCCCAGCAGATTAGTATAGAGTTGCTACGAGATTAAAAACTAATGGAAAGTCAAAAAAAAAAAAATCCTCCCCCCTCTAATTTTTCGTGTTTTTAAACACCAAAACCTTTTTCGTAGTTATGGTATCTTTCAAAATTTGGGAGAGAACAAATTAGTAGACCCTTTTAGCTTGGACGTAATGTTTTCCTATTTCAGACCATGTGTTTTTCTCTTGAGTATCATTTCTTTGTTTAATGGTTGCACATGGGACGACATATACAAGTCAAACAAAAAAATCTTATTCTTAATAGAATGACACTTGGTGTGAAATCGGAAAACATTACACCCAATTCTAAATTGGTCTATTGTTATCAAACTGGACCAATTTAGACAGGAGGGGTGTGTATATGAAGTATCCATCTCTTCTATAAGACTACAGTAGTCTAGAATTTGTATTTCAATATCCCCCAAAATGTAAGTCAAATTGCAGGAGTGATGAGATTATTTGACCCTTGAAGTAGAATTAGTCCTCAAATTGATAATCTTACAGCTTGTGGTAGCTTAGGAGCAGCAGCTCCAACATGTATAGCATCATAAGGGGCACCTGCTTCATAACCTTGCCGACCATCAGCCTCTGAAAATAAAATAAGTAGATATATATTAGATCTATAAACACATAAATATGCAAACAGTCATCACCTTTTTTTATGAATTACAGCTTACTATCATTATCTTTAAAGTGTGTGACCAGCGAAGTTTGATGTCTTGCTCACTGACTAGAATTGCAAGAATTGTCAATGGGAAACTGCATTGAAAAAAACATCATCCTGAGGGGGATTTTAGACTGAATTAAAGACCCTCTAAATTCTTTAATTCAGTCTCACACACTTACACACACATACACAACCACTTACACACACTTACACACATTTACATACGAATACACACCCTTACACCTACTAACACACACTTACACACACTTAAATTCAAGTACACACACACTTACACACACTTACACACAATTATAATCTCTCTCATAATATCGTTTTTATTATTGCAGTTCTTTGATTGACGATTGTTGCAATTCTAGTCAGCGAACAAGACCTTAAACTTTGCTGGTCACACACTTTGTGTAAAATTGATAATCAAAAGCTTTTGGGTGCAACAAACACATTACAGTGGCTAACCATTATCCATTAACGTATAAATTCAAGGAGGTTTCATGAAGTTTGAGCAGAAATTCTAAAATTCAAGAGTTTTTTAAAACCTTTGAAAACTAAAATCAAATTTAAGAATTTTTCAAGGAGTTTAATAGCAAAAACCCTGGAATTAAAATGCGTGTTAGCAAGCCATATCAAAGGTTTTTCAAACAACTGGAAACCATAGAATCAAAGTTAGAGCTTTCAAGTCATGAGGCATTTCTGGGTCAAACTGCCCACAAAACCCATTAGAATAAAACGAAATGTTTTTCTAAATGATCAAACCTACTACTGAAACAATAGGACACTTGCATTTTGGTGTCATTTACTGCAAGGGCTTAAAATAATGGCTGGACATTGGACAATGTCTGGCCAGAACTGGGACTTGTCCAGTCAAATCTTTACCTTGACGCCATCATGCAAATGGCCTATTAGATCTTTGGACAACAAACCCTGTCGTGAAGAAAAAGTAAGAAAAATCTCTATATATTGCTTTTCATTTTGGACCCAGAAATTGTTTTTCCATATGATTGATGTCCAATTAGTATATGTAATAGGACTCCATGCTGTCCAATTAAGAAATAATTGAACGAGGAAAATTCCGAGGACTGACAAAATTTGGCAGTCAGAGGAATTTTTCGAGTCTAATTATTTCTTGATTGGGGAGCATGAAATATCCCATTACCTATTAATTATATGGCTGCCTAATTAATCCCATATCAACRAGACCTGYCCAATTAAGAAAATAATTGGACATTCACCTATATGGGATTAATGAGAAGCTGTATAATTAAAAGCTTTATAACATTGTTCTTTCACTACTTTATTAATCTCCTGATGAACTCAGACTTTTTTAAACTATGTTTGACTGCTATCTGCATATTGGAAAGCCTACAAAAAGAGTTTTAACACGTACTTAGTATCTCTACTCTATTCTCTGTTAGCAATTCTGGATTTCCCTTTTTGATGTTTGCAGTTGCTTCTGTCACTAACTGATCTATGTGATCTATTCCATACACCTTACCAGTGGGACCAACCTGGAATCAAAATTCAGATAAACTTTAGTTTTTACTATAAAACAGGGCAGTGCTCTCCCATTAAGTCCATAATTAATTTAATAAGCTTGCTTCAACGCAAAAATTATGACATCAATGTACAAACTCCGCTTATCGAAACATCAATGTGAATAGCCCATGTCTAATAAGCCTTTTTATACATATGTAGTTTAAGAATCGATTCCACTGCGCATGCGATTTTATCCCAAATTTCTCACCTTCTTTTGTCTATAACCTTCTTTTGTTCTGAATTAAACAAAAGAAGGTGAGAAATTTGGGATAAAATCGCATGCGCAGTGGAATCGATTCTTAAACTATGAAAAGGCTTATTGGTTAGTGATGAAAAGCACAATTAAATTTGTCAAAAAGTTGTCAAAAAGATGTTAATGAGAAATCAAAAACTTGTGGAAGTGTTCATGGATAGCACAGTGACTTTCTTCCATTAGTCCTGGATAGTGTGTCTGCACAGTAATCAAAGATTTACAATAGCCTTTTATGAGTTGTTAGGGGATTAGTGCTTAAGAAGGATATACGTAGGATATTCATGATCATAAATTACAAACCATGTATGCCATGGCAGCTGTAAGGTAGCCACTACCACTCCCTACATCTAGAACARTCGCTCCTTCTTTAAGGTGGTCTTCAAGGATTTGAAGGGCATAGCAATGCTGTAAGGTGTAAGATATGGAAATATAAATAACAGTCACAGTAATCATTTTCATAATCTATGGTACTAAAAATCAAAAATCAAACAATATATGAAAAGTGATAAAATTAGCTTGTTTATTTATTTATTAGCTTTTCCCCATGAGGGCAGGGACACCACAACAGCTTTTATACCAATTACAGTGGGCCCTATAGAGTTTTAGCATGGGCACTGAAGATGGTCGTCACCAGCGTCTTCAGTGGATCTTTTACGTCCGCCTTATACAGGGTCATATAGTGAAGACAGATGGGGCCTACCGTTTTAAGTCCTTGTCTGAGAAGACTTGAAGGTCTAACCATTTGCAGATATTATTACAAAGGCAGCACCTTCTCCTGAGTTATTTTAAGACCCTGAGTGTTGGTCCGGCCGAGGCTTGAACCACCTCAAGCACAACAGACTGACGCTCTTACCAACTGAGCTAATCGGGTTGTTGTTGTTCAATTTTAACACCAGGCAACCAAATATTTTATAGTACAACTATATTTAGACAAAATAGCAGGGTTTGTATAAGAATCCTGAATGACAAATCCAGGGCCTCTTAGGGTTGAGCATTAAGATCTAAAATCCTATACTTTTCAAGATTCAGGTAGACTTAATTTAACCAGTATTGCTTTGTCAGAAAATGTACAAGTGGCTCATCTATATGATCATTTTCTTCATGGAATGCAAAGTTTTAATTAACTCTGCAATTTCCAAAAAATAATTCAAGGCCTTTAGTCAATCACGTGATTTTTTGGAGTTGACTAAGGTAAACAAGCGTTTGACTGAGGGGCAACTAGCGGATGTTAAGTCAAAACATGTCAAAATAAGTCCTCAAACTATTGTATTTGACTACTGCTACGGCATGAAACCAGAAAACAAGAGATCAAAACAACCTCCAAGATTCTACAAGCCATTGAAAACGTGGCTATTAAGGGAAGTGATGTCTATTGATAGCAACCTATAGTCCATTGCCTATTTTCTAAACTGTGGATTTATAAAAAAGCCTGTGTACAACAGCTTCCTGCCCCTCCCCCCCACGGAAAATGTCTTTTCTCTGAGGGGGGGGGGGGGGGGGGCGGGTGTACACAGGCTACAGGTGTATAATAAAAGAGCAACTCAAAAAAAAAGTTTTAGACCATACATATGTTCTACAGTATCCTTACCATATGTGGAGCACTGATAGTAGCTTGATAACCTGTAAAAATATGAAGTATTTTAATGATAATAATACGTAAATGATTTCTCCAGTTATTGAGTTTACTTACAGTAGTTTATGACTAGCTTTATATTATATTGACTTTGAAGATCATCATAATAAACCATTGTACTATCTAAGGGAATACAATTCTTAGTTTTATTTGTAAAGCCAAATTGACTTACCTATTGGTTGAGGAGAATCCATAAACGGGTTTAGTTTAGTGTAGTTTTTTCTATCGACCATTTTAAGGACTCTTTCAACCTTTTCACTTTTGATGACTCCATTAGCTGAAGTGAAAAAATCCCGCACATTGGAAGGCGTTAGCAAGCACCAATACGCGTATAATTTAAAGTTAAGCTAGTATTTGTACCCTTTAGTTGGTTAATGAGGTCTTCGTTGCTTTTTCCTTGTGATTTCCAAGCCATATTTCGCGTTAAAATCCTGCGCACCAAGTTTCTACTTGCAGCAGGCCACATCAGCCAGGTCGTCACCAGTTACGGTAACTTAGTCTTTCTCTAACACCTCGCCACAGGTACCCAATCCCAATTTGGATTACGACTTCGGGGKTTTTTTTTTTTTTTTTGGCCTTTTTTGTTCAAAATATCCTCAGGACACAAGAACTAGCATTTCTGGAAAACATATTTTGAGAATTTTTATGGGAGCATGAAGCTACACGCCATTTAATACGGACCCTTTTTTCCGATTCCAGGATCCGTGCGATCAGTATCTTTTGAAATTTTTTTGATTCGGATCATTTTTATCCATCGATTTATAAATACACATGCATGTACGAATATAGGTTTTTAACTGTAAGGCTAATGCAAAAATAAATAAATTAATATGATAGATTATAGTTAATAGATTTAACTATGATAGATTTATCATTTTGCAGTACTGGTTACCCTGTGGTTAAAAGCGTGCGCATGTGTTTAATTGCGAGTCCGCTGGACTAGTTTTCCCGCCAAAGTTTAAAGATGGATCACCATTAGATCGATGACTTGTGAAGAAATGTTTTAAATCATCTTATCACATGGGAGAATGAACACTTTATTATTTCTGCGAAGGATTTCAGCATGTACTTTTCTTCGGCCTGTCTTCAAAGGTAAAAATTTACTACTTTAAATTGAAAATTACTACTACTTTAAGATGAAGTGACCCCCTCATTTATAGGATTTCAACCCAGAAAAAATATAAACGGTTTGAAAGCCAATTTCGTTACTTTTGAAATTCCTTAAAACGAAATACTGGAAAATCCTTGGAAGGGAGAGAGAGGAGGGGGGTAAGAAAAAATCATGAGATGGCATCCATGACAGGAGGCATAACAACTGTCTTCCATCATGCCTCATGTCATGGCTGCGTGATGATGCAAAAATGTCTCTAGTGCTGTAAGTAATATATTTATGTGGCATCTTATACACAAAATGGTACATCAATTTAACTCCAAATAAGGTTTGACTAAGACAAAATATAAACATTTATATGAATAATCATAATCATAATTTATATGAATAATAATACTTAGAATCGTATGGCAAACGCTCATTTTCTATCTCTGCGCCTATATTATGGAATGACCTGCCACAGAATATAAGACTATGCCAATCTTTAGAATGCTTTAAGTCTAAATTGAAAACGCATCTGTTTAAATCGGTATATAGCGATTTTATTTAAGCCACGTCAAAAACTAGAGCACTTTTTGATTATTTGTATATTTTTAGGAATTATTTAGGGATATTATTGCAA